GCATCACTATCATCTCTTAAGATAGACCAGCATGGTTGGTCACTAGTGGAGTGCTCTTGGATGGTTTCTCTGTAGGAACAGCAGTACAGTGGACAGGAGAAGATTTAATGGTAATTGTTGTCCAACATCTGACAATTCGGACACTGAGGGTTGCAGTTGTTTGCAACCCTTGCCTTGAATGCTGTGAAGGTGATGTCATGGCCATGCAAGAGAGACATTACTTTAGTGTCTGTGCTCCTGCTTGAATAGCGAGGAAACAACTTTTTGCTTCTCTCATCGATGTTATCCAGTATCTCACTTGGACTCCAAACAATTTTAAGTTACAATAATTTAATCTAATTGCAGCGGCACATAATTTAAACTATTGCTATCATTATTGTACTACAGACTGAAAATATCTCAGATCGATTTTGGGCGTTTTTAACCACCTGTAGTTGTAATTCTTAAATATTAGATATCCTAATTTATAACTTTTTAATCAGAGTGAATTAATAATTGATATTTGATAATTTATTTATTTGATAGTTTAGTCTGATATTGATATTAATATTGATTATATTGCCGTTTGGTGTGAGCAATAGCGAACAGCACGCACACTCCTTTGCCCCGTCAACCTATATCTAATCTATTTAAAGAGTGACAACCATACTGCACATTGAATTAGGATTCCGTTAAATATCAAATTGATTTATTGTAAACTTGTTTAATCTGTAATAAATGGCATAAAATTGAAATTTTTGTTTAACTGAAATTTTTGTTTAACTGATATTGTTATTATTGAATGAAGCTAACTCCAGACATAAATAATACTACTTCTATTAACAAAGGGACTTGGAGTATAAACGACCAATTTTGCATAATTGTCTATCCAACCAAGAATTCAGGAGGCAAGGGTGGGTGCGTAAACTTTTGGTCTGCACTCTCAGATCCTGTATCACCCTGGATTCATTTCGACGTATTTTTGGTAAAAGTATACATATACTTTCTGGTCACTCTCTTGCTACTCCAAGTCCCCTAAGATATATGGTCTAAAGTTTGCGCTAGTTATATTTATAAAATATGTTTTTGTCTGCTTTAACTGATACTAAATAAAATTGTTGTTTTCTTGACCCGGATTTATTCTTGGGTTCAGTAGGAGATGTTTATTCCAAGTGAAGTCCATAAAGCGGGTTATTTCGTCTTTTGAATAGCTGACAACACCGTTGTGGACACTAGTCAGAAGGTCTATTCTGCTTCTGTTGATCTCGTTGGACCCCATTGTCCACGTTAGAAACTTACGTATCTCATCAATATGGTGCTGATATCGATGAGCCTTTGCCTCCTCTAGCTGTAAGATGAGCCCTTGCATAAATGAGTCGCTTGTAAGTGCTTTTATTATGAATTTTATAGTGACCATCTTATAGGATATCTCAAGGGGTGGAATTCCAAGCGCGACAGAGGTCAAGTCTTAGGGAGGATGGTGAGTGGATCCACTTATTTTCAAGAGGACCCTGGCATAGAAGTCTTTGAAAGTGTCAAGGTTATTTTTAAGCCATATTGGAGCAGCATATAGAAGTTTTGTGAGTACTACTGTTTTGAAGAGCGTTCTGAGTGAGCTTGCATTCAGGCCTCTGTGGCGGGTGGAGTTTTGAGTGATCCTGTACCAGGCAAACCAGCATTGTTTGAGTTTCAATTTTGCGTGACTCTTGAACGTAAGCTTGTTGTCTATCCTTAGTCCAAGAACAGTTGATTGACATGTATATGTTATAGGTCTATTGCCGATAATGAGTGGTCTAAAGGCTGTGACATCAGGTGCAGATGAGGATGTTGGTGCGAACATAATACACTCCGTCTTGTTTTTGTCGCAGCTCGGGATAAGTTTCCACTTACTGCACCAGACATGAAGGCACTTGCACATCAACTGCATAATTCGATGAGCACATATAGGATCTATGTGGGAGACTGCTACACTTCCATCATCAGCATATTTGAAGAGGCTTGAGTTAGAGCTGCATTCCAGTGGAAGCTGATCCTTGCATAACATATCCGAGATGTAGAGGATAAATAGCAGGGGTGCAAGGACAGAGCCTTGGGGAAGCCCAAACCATCCACATGAGCGTTGAAATCCGAGACTGTTGTTAACCCTCAGCCGTACTTTGCGGGATAACAGGAAGTTATTGATTATCCGCAAAATGTTCCCTTGTATTTGGTAATTGCTAAGCTTGAAAATCAGGCCTTTCACCCATACACTGTCAAATGCTTTGATAAAGTCGATGCATAGTAGGAAAGTAGTGAGTTTTTTCCTCTTGCATTCATCTAGAGTAGCTACTAATTTATAAAGATACCTTGCAGTATTTCTTTGAGTTCTAAAGCCTTCTTGCTCTTCGTCGAGTAAGCCCTCTAGTTCGCAATGGAGCTTTATTCTTCGTTCCAAGATCTTTTCTAGCAGCTTTCCAACATATGATGATATTGATATTGGTCTATAAGCAGAGGGGTTCATGTAATTATCCTTCCCATCCTTTTTGATGAAAGTGACATTGGATACCTCCCAGACCCATACACCAGTCTCAAGGACAAGGTCGTATAGTTTTGTTAGAATCTGAAGAGGTGACACAGGCAGATGTTTCAGGATTTTACCTAGTAACAAGGCAAGCATCCATGTTGTTGATGGTGGAGGGGAGGTCATTAATAAGTCCCATCAACTTAAAGATGCTAGGGAAGTTGTTGATGGGATGTGGCTTGTTTACTACGTTTCCAAAACAGTAGTTTTCTGATGAAGGGCTTAGCCATAGGGTGTGGACTTTTTCAGGTTTGCCTTCTAGATTCATTGAGTCTAATTCTTCTGTGATTTCCTTGAATAGACTTTCGTCCATTCCAGGGAGGACTGGAACATGCTCTACGAGCGGATGTGGGCTGTCCAGGATACTCTGAGTAAGGAGGGTATGCATGTGTTGCATTACTTCAAGAGATAAGTTTTGCAGTAGGGCAAGGGCAGGGAAGTTGGCGGGCATTGTTGGCATCTTGTTGTGAAGTGTGGGAGGATCGGGAGGAGACTGGGTGATCCGGATAGGAGATCAACAGCAGGATGTTTCAGTGGCATCGTTGTAAACCCTGGCAATCTGGATCTGAAACAGTTAATAGGCCAGAGATTTATAGTTTTTGAATTATAATGAACAGAGGTCTTGTAAAGAACTGTATCGCTTCTTCTTTTGATTGGTCGGCGTCGACAGTAAGCCTTCCTTACGGTGGCTTTCACAACGCGTCCCCATTCTCCAACTCCTGCTGCTGGAGAGAGAGACTCCCAAATTATATACCATAAATATATTAAACGTAGATATCGATAACAGACTCCGAGAGTCTTGAAGTTCTGTTACCACAGAGAGACAGGGACTTCCAACTCGTAGGAGTATGCAATGTTCCTGTAACGTCACTGTAGAGTGTAGACCGCTCTTCTTTCCTTTTTTTTGAGTGGCTTATCCAAAACCAAATCCTGGAGTTACAAGAAACATGGAAGCCTGTGAGCGTGTAGACCGCTCCTCTATCGTTGTCTTGAGTGTCCGATCCAAAACCAAATCCTAGGGTACACGAGACGTGGAAGCGTGTTAGAGTCCTAGGGTTACACGAGACGTGGAAGCCTGTGAGCGTGTTAAATCCTGGGGTTACACGAGACATGGTAGCCTGTGAGCGTGTAGACCTCTCCTCTATCGTTGTTTTGAGTGTCCGATCCAAAACCAAATCATAGGGTACACGAGACGTGGTAGCCTGCGAGCGTGTTAGAGTCTGTTAAGTGTTAGAGTCCTAGGGTTACACGAGACGCGGTAGCCTGTGAGTGTGTAGACCGCTCCTCTATTGTTGTTTTGAGTGTCCGATCCAAAACCAAATCCGTGGTAGCCTGTGAGCGTGTTAAATCTTGGGGTTACACGAGACGTGGTAGCCTGTGAACGTGTCAAATCCTGGGTTTACACGAGACATGGTAGCCTGTGAGCGTGTAGACCGCTCCTCTATCATTGTTTTGAGTGTCCGATCCAAAACCAAATCCTAGGGTACACGAGACGTGGAAGCCTGTGAGCGTGTTAGAGTCTGTTAAGTGTCAGAGTCCTAGGGTTACACAAGACATGGAAGCCTGTGAGCGTGTTAAATCCTGGGGTTACACGAGATGTGGTAGCCTGTGATCGTGTCAAATCCTGGGGTTACACGAGACATGGTAGCCTGTGAGCGTGTAGACCGCTCCTCTATCGTTGTTTTGAGTGTCCGATCCAAAACCAAATCCTAGGGTACACGAGACGTGGGAGCCTGTGAGCGTGTTAAATCCTGGGGTTACACCCCAGGTCAAGATTCATGCAAGATTGCGAGCTAGACTCATCGCAAAAAATTTGTTAATAAATAAGAAAACAGAAAAATTTTAACATAAGAGGCGGTCCGTGTAGGCCTTACACTGTGCTTTCAGCAATACTCATAAAAGCTGAGGGACACAATCATTAGGAACTTAACGTGTATTTTATACACTTAACGTATATTTTATCACTAGTTTATAGCGTGAAAACTTCGATTGGGGTTGAGACAATCACCCTCGATTACCTTCTGTAGCTGGGGTTCAACTTTCACATCATGACATACCTCACGGAGGAGATTAGCCATTGTGTCTCTGATGTGAATTGTGATTGTTGGTCATTATCACGTAGCCCCCTAGATTGCAAGACCACTTGTTTATCCACATCCGCAGGTGATGGGAGTATTTGGTATCCATCAGCTGTAGCGTAGGCAGAGGCTGTCACGAAATTCCTCTTTGTTCAGAGTGTAGCCATACTTCTGAAGTGGCAGTGTGTTGAGCCAACTGGAAGCCCCCTTTTCTCTTGCTGCTAGTGGAGCTCTCTTGGAGGAGTTGCCACATCTTTCAGCTATAGCGTCATACTTGGCACTTGGAATTTTTTGATTTCTTAATCATTTCTTTCCCCGAAATTGTTGCGATCCTATTGATTTGTTCAGATATTATTGTATTGTTCTGACCCTATTATATTTGTAGCAATGGAGGGAGCTGGGACTGTAGACAACGGGTTGAGTGTCATCATCAGAACACCTGATCAAAGAGTCAAGGACATGGAGATCACGTGTCAACCAACCTGGACTGTCGCTAATCTCAAACATCACCTCTCCCTCTTATATCCTGGCAATCCTGTAGGTTACTCATCATCAATACTATATCACACACGGTCATGTTACAGTCACCTTTATGTCTTAATGTCATTAAATTTTGTCATTAGTTATCGTGTTAAAATTATATTTTATTGGTTTTTCCCAGTATTTATTTGATTTATAGTAAACAAATTTTAGACGGAGGATAAACAAAGACTTATCCTCGCTGGTAAACTTCTACAAGATAAGGCTAAGCTGGAGGAACTCTTTAAGCAAGTAAGTTTACACAATTATACCATATCTGTATATTAAACATACCATATTTAAGGTATTTACATACCCGACAAATTTGGATTATGGGGAATAAAACAATTAACCAGGTTTGATAAAAGAGAATCATGTTTATAATTAACGAGATTCAAGGAAGTAACTTGTTCAATATGATATGTATCGTTTAAAACTTCGTATGCATCGTTATAAATATATTTGTTTACTCCGCTTGCGCTATCACCTACAGGATTACTGTTCATTATGTGTTGTAATTTATACATACACTGGTATCATAACATCCGGTATATTTTGATGTAAGGTCTTTAAATAGAGTTTAACTTGAAACTAATAGTCAAATATACCACTCTAGTGCATCTGGACTTTAGGACTTACAAGTATGCTGATCGGTAGAAACCAGCAATAGAAATGTGGACTGTTTCAGTTTTTAATAAAGCAACTTTACTGAGCTGTGTAAAACTATGCATATTCTGTCATTGGCTCATTCCAGAACTATCTTCCCCGCCCTGGACATTCCTTGAACACACTGGTTAATTAAAAACATAGATAAGGAGCATCTTAAATTGAGGAATTTACAATGTATTCACAATTAATTGTATACAGTTAATTGTATACATATAATATGTAACAAAAGATGTCATATTATATAAATTGGTTTAAATTAATTAAAGTTTGCCTCATTTATTCTCTCGATGAAAAGACTGGGTGTAAACTTTTACTTTAAATGTTAAATTTAATGGGTGTGGTTTGTTAAGCTATTATTTCTGTTTAAAGTTATCAGAACAATGTGCAATTAGTAGCTAGCAGATCACTAATAACCTACCTTTACATTTCAGTACGATTATAGACCGATAATACATTTTGTGTGCACACAAACCTTACCCGAGCCTGTCAGTGACACCGAGTCTACAACTGGTCAGTCTGCCAGGTCCAGGTAATTGCTACTTTCTATATTTCCACTAATTATTCCACTAATTATCCCCTCTAGCAAACATACAGTAACTAGGTCCAAACATAATGAAGCGATCATGATGAAGGCATAATGAAGGAACAGTTATACTTTGCTAAGTAGGCTGGGTTTCTTGGACACTGCCGTATTTGAAGTCTCCGCAGTCCTGTTGCCTGATGCAGATGGAGGACCTGTGTCAATGAAATATAGTATCAAACGAACATCGCAATAACTAGAGCCATGTCGAGAAATCCCCGAATTTAATTGACATAATTATCCGTTAATTGCGAGTTTAGGGTACAACATGCAGTACACCCAGTACAAAATGCAGTTACATTTTGCAATTTACTATTACCGCACGTGTAGAAGAATATTTCTATCTATTTAGGGATATGAAACTTTTCGAAAATATACCATCAGTATTCCAATCTAGGAATGATAATATATTATTCGATGCAATTCTTTAGCAATAGAAAATTGTTGTCCAAAAAAGTTTATTTTGCATTCAATTTCTGAGCCAAGTATGTCGCACTAATATATCGGAGAATGTTTTCAATAATGCAACGTCATAAAAAAATTATAATTTTTGCAACTGATTTAACTAACGACAAATTGTTAATTTGTTCGTTTTTATTACAAAATGAAAATTATGAATGTTTACCCATTCCTGTCACCACTTTTATAATCGCAACTTACCTTAGCAAAAGTTACAAGCAATATTAAAGTTCACAAGCGTACATTGATCGTCACAATAACGTTATATAAGCAGCGACGAATCAGTAAATGACTCTTAATATATATAAGGAATGCTTATGATTTCGAAAACAAACAAGAATGGGTAAGTCCAGATGTTCCACTTGTTCATCAGAGAAAATATGTACTGTAAAACCCCGATTTACCTCGCCCCCATTTACTGCAAACCCCGATTTACCGCGCCCTCATTTACTGCAAACCCCGATTTACCGCGGCCATTTCCTTCCCCCAATTTCCGCGGTAATTCGGGGTTTTACTGTAGTAAGTTGATATTTTTATTTAGAAATAAAAACTGTAAACAAATGTTTTTGCTAAATTTTGTTTTCCTTAACTTACAGGTTTTAGTATCTGCACTCAGTGTCAAGTTTTGCTATGCTAGCCTGAAAAACAACAACCCTCTTTTGATCGTGAAACCTTATTTACGTCCGAAAGTCTGGCAGGACGGCTTGCCCTACTAGTTTCGTGTCCAGATATTGTTACTGAGTTCTTAATGATTGTGATATTGAAGCAGAATCTGATTACCCAATTAATAGTAAATTGACCACGTTTTTGTGGTCGAATTTTAAAAAGGCTTACTGATTGCTAGTTTTTGTTAGAATTTACTGTACCGAGTCAAAGTTGTTTGTGCACATTGGCTATTTTTAGACGCGCCGCGCGCTGTAATGTTTACATCAAGAAGATACACGTTGTCTAACCCTAACAGGCATTATTATGGATCGGCAGAATGCCCCTGTACTAACACAGCTGGAATAAGCAACGTCATCTGCCTAGATGTGGCATTGTGGCTGGTAAACAATGGATTTACTAATTAGTAAAAGTGTTTTACTCTTTTGTGGATTTAACCAGTGTCGAGTAAAGGAGTAACGTTGAGTAGCATTAAATAACCCGAATTATCTAGCCCTTCCTGAAAACATTAATTTCAGTGTCAGTTCCCCCACGAATCCCGCCGTAGAGCAGAACGCTGCTCCTGTCCGACCAACCATTCAAATCCCTGGTGGTAACCCCAGATGGAGCGCTCACATGAACCAGCTCCACAATTGGCGACAACAGCTGGAGGAGAACCAGGCAGCATATTACCACCAGAACCACTTGAACCCTGCTGTTTTGAGGAGGGTTGCTGAGCAGGCACAGGAGCGTGCTGCACCTCCGCCCCAACAAGAACAGCAGCCTCAACAACAACCAGTTCGACCAGCTCAGGATCCTGAGGAGCAACATGACTTGTTAGACGTCTTTTATCTTATTATCAGGTGAATACTAAATTCTTTCAATCTACCCTCTCGTCATATCATTTCTTATATAGTAGTTGAAATTCATTCTCAATGAAATAGAACATTTGTTTTGTTAATGTACTGTGAGCAAATGATTACTGTTCGTTGTTTTTCAGGGCCCTTTTTCTTCTGGCTCTCGCCTGGAATTACGCCAGTCCAGCCAAGTTCTGTTTCATGGGAGTCCTACTCTTCTACTTGTATCTTTATCAAAGCGGATACATCGAAATGCCTGCTATTTTCTCGAGGTAAAGTAGTTGTTATGCTGGTCTGGAGTTTAGCTACCGAAAGAAAAATACTATAATAAATTATATCCAAACTTTTAAAATTTTAACCTGGTTGAAATTCGTAATTTTCAGAAATCAGAACGAACAGACGGAGGAAGGAGCTGAAGAGAGAGAAATTTCAAGAATAGCTGTACTCAAGAATGCGCTCTTATCTTTTTTCACGTCCTTGATGCCATCTAATGAAAATGTCAACTGATAATAACGACTTTAGAAGTTTTTTTGGGAGGATGGATTATTTGTCACGGTTTTTAATGGATGGTGCTAAAATTATTTGTTTAAGTATTTCAGTAGGGTCTAGAGGTCATTAGCTGAAAGTGAATCGAATCTAGACTTTCATTAAAGTTATAGTTAAAATTTCATTCAGCCCAATTAAGAACAGCGAATCAAGGCAGCAGATAACAATTAACAAATTGTAATTTAAAATTTCTACATGCCTAAAGTAGTTAATGTCAGATGAAGCCGTAACAGGCATGCTACAGGTCCGGCCAAATGAGAATCCGTTAAAACGCGACAAAAACAAAAATAATTTCGATCCTTCTATAATTTATATGCAAACACACACCTAAGTGGCATGCCCGTCAGCTAAAAATAATGTTTTCTCGATTTTGTATGCGGTAACAATGATTTGGGGAGTTTTCATCAAGAAGTTCAGCGTTGGTCAGTAGCAAAAACTTCATTGTTTCGATAATTTGTGATCCTTATTGTTGATGTTATGATAATCACCATGAGTTAGGGTTTAATCGTTAGCAGAATCAGCGTTACATTACATTTGATATTACATTACAGTCGGATTATACGAGTACCAGATTTGGTGCCTGGCTTTGTGTTAAAGCTCCGTAATTCAGTTATTTAACATAAGTTCAGATTTAGTATTTTCAATCTAGTCAATTTAATTATATCTAAGGTTAAAGAATGCAAAATTCGTTAATCCGGCAAGTATTTTGACTGAAGAGGTCACTCTTCATTCTACTGTGACATTTTGTATATCATAACAATGGTTACTTATGTAAGTTTCAGTGTAATGTAATGATGTACGTAGAATGGGGTTAATCTGAACGAACGATTATTATTACAATCAATATGAATTTTCTGGATCGTTGTGATCGAATTTGTCAATATTTATTGCTTTTGCTACAAGTTGCATAGTTCTAGAGCCAGAAATAAGCATGTTTGATGTAATCGTAAATGTGTCAACAATTTAAGGAATGGCATTTTTAATGTTTTTAGTGTAGTGATTCATGATCAAGATTTTGTAGATCTGAATTATGATGTAGATAATTTTTCAACAAAGTGAAGTGTCCATGTTTGTAGTAATATTAACAAATTGTATGATCAACAAACACTTAGAATGATACTAAGTAATCAGTCAGCCTATGTACGCATATCCATAAGCATGATGTTCCAGTACCGTTTATTCTGCTGGAGGTGCAATTTGGTCTTCAGCAGGCGCACTTAGTTCTTCAGCAGTCGCAACTTTCTGGTCCTCTGCACTAAGCTCTTCGCTAGGAGCACTTTGCTCTCCGACAAGAGCGCATGAATCTGCAGTATGGGCACTCAGCTCCTCAACTGGATCTTTTTGTTCTTCAGCAGGGTCGACTTTTTGGTCCGCTTCGCTTGGGACGCTTTGTTCTTCGACAAGAGCAGTCGACTCTTCGGCAGGGGCACTTTGCTCTTCAACAGGGGCATTTTGCTCTTCAGCAGGGGCATTTAGCTCTTCAGCAGGGGCACTTTGCTCTTCAACAAGGGCATTTTGCTCTTCAGCAGGGGCACTTAGCTCTCCAGCAGGGGCACTTTGCTCTTCAGCAGGGGCACTTAGCTCTTCAGCAGGGGCACTCTGCTCTTCAACAGGGGCATTTTGCTCTTCAGCAGGGGCACTTAGCTCTTCAGCAGGGGCACTTTGCTCTTCGACAGGGGCATTTTGATCTTCAGCCGGGGCAATGTTCTGGTCCTCTGCACTAAGCTCTTCGCCAGGGGCGTTTTGTTCTTCGACAATAGTACTCGTCTCTTCGGCAGGGTCATTTGACTCAATTGGAGCAACATCATCTTCGGTTTGGTCCTGAGCACTTACATCTTCGGCAGGTGCACTTGACTCTTCAACAGGACTGTCTTCCTCTTCGACAGAAGCGCTTTGGTCCTGAGCAGGAGCACTCATCTCTTCAGCAGAGGTGCTAAGCTTATCATCTGGTGCATTCACTTCCTCAGAAGAGGTATTTTGCTCTCCTATCGGCTCTTGTTGGACATCAGCTGGAGTACTTTCCACGACAGCAGTCTGCTCTTCAGCGAGAGAACTTGGCTCTTCCACAAGCACACTTTGTTCTTCAGCAAGAGCACCTGCTTTGTGAGATTTGATCGAAGCCTTTGAGGGCTCTTTGCATATTGCGTCAATCGCGTCCAGAGATTTTTCTGATGAAAATCGTTTCAGCGAAGATTTTGATCCCGCTGCTAGTTTTGAGAATTTCTGACTTAAGGATTTCATCGACAACTTGGAAGATGATCTGACTTTTTCACTTGTTATTGATGCACTGTCGTCATCTTTCTTCGACTTCAGCGAGACACTGTCTTCATTAGTTGTGGTTGCCTCTACTTGCTCTTGTTTTGAGAATTTGTGAGTAAGGGATTTCATCGACAACTTGGAAGAAGATCTGACTTTTTCACTTGTTATTGAAGCACTGTCGTCATCTTTCTTCGACTTCAACGAGACATTGTCTTCATTAGTTATTGATGCCTCTACTTGCTCTGCATCCCCAGCTTTAGCAGAGTGATGAGATGATTTCATGGACAAAATAGACTGCCCGATTGAACCTAGTGATTTCTTGACAGATGCCATAGAGAGTTTAGAGCCCTTCGCTGGCAGTTCCTTGATATCATCGGGTACTTCTTGTTCAGAGACTTTCTCCTGTAATTGTCCATTCTCGTTTGGTAGCTGACTCTCCAAAGTATTTTCTGGTTGTTGAGGTTCGGGAGCACTTTCTGACAGTTGAGGTTCAGGCTCAGAGTTCTCTGCAGCGGCGTCTGAAAGTTTAACTGAGAGATTAGAAGCTGACTGGTTGACTTTAGTACGTCAGTAGGCAACTCACTATCTGGTTTATCGCTTATAGCTGATAAACTAGGTGTGGTTTTTGCTTGAAGTCCATCTGGCTGAGGGACAGCCTCTTGCGCAATTTCAGCTTGGGATCCTGCAATGATATTGATATCCTCCTCTAGGGCTTTGACAGTTGATGTTGATGACGGAGACTCGTCCACAATTGAAGCTTTAGATAACTTTGGTGCGGAAGCTTTACTTAAAGAGCTCTTAACTGTAGTGCGGCTTGTGGCAACTGTCGCGTTTACGCTACATGCGGCAACTATCCCGTTTACGCTGCTTTTGGCAGTGGCACGAGATTTAGCAGACACATTACTTTTTAATGAAGCACTGCTTTTTACCGAGGCACTGCTTTTTACCGAGGCACTGCTTTTTACCGAGGCTCTGCTTTTTAACGAAGCATTACTCTTTACCGAAGCGTTGCTTTTTAAGGAAGAAATGCTATTAATAGAAGAACTGCTTGGAGATTTCTTTACAGATGCTTTAGAAACTTCCTTCTTCACAGGTGTCTGGGACGCTTTCTTAACTGAAACAAGAGCTCTCTCCTTTCTAACCGAAACTTGAGAAGCATTTTTCACCGAGGAAGATGACTCCCTATTTTTCAACGAGACTTTGGAGGCAGTCCTTACTGACGTGGAGGAATTTTTTGGTTGACCAACTACATGTACACTTTTCTTCACTGAAACTCTTGATGTTCTTGAGGACTCTTTCTTGAGAGGAGCTTGTGAAATCTTTTGTTTAGAAATCGAGGTGCTTGATAGAACACTAGGCTTTTCTTGTGACTTCTCGGATGCTGTAGCTGAAAGAATGGTCGAATGAAAAACATTATCGCCAAAACAAAATTTGTTCAAAAAATTTCGCTGTTTGCTATTGCAAATTAACATTTCGTATTCTTCGTGAAAAATAAAGCAGTCAAATCCTAATATAAACGATAATAAAAATGTTGACAAACCCTCTTCAACGATGCATGGGGATGTTACATTACTGATTGATTGTTTTGAAGCAGCTAACACGGATTGACTGATTGTCTGTAAAGTTGAGTCCTCGGAGTTTTCATTGTAAGCATTTGTACTGCCATCGAGGTTCAAGTATGACATTTCACGGTTCTCACCAGTCATTTTTGATTCCAGAGGTTTTTTGATTCCTTGCATTCCCAGAAAGTATTCTGTGGCACAGTCTAGCAGATTTTCAGGCTGATTCCTCAGAATATGGACCACGAAGCGTTGCAGCATATCTGTAAATCCATCTGGTATTTCATAGGGTGGACCCTTAGCTTGGCTTGCCATTTTGTTTAATAGTTGTCTGGATGAACGCGAAACAACAGGATCAATAGACATAAATGACTGCTGGATAAAACGCACGTGCTCTAGTAGTGTCACCGAGTAAGTTTGTCCAGTCGCTATGGTTACGCCATGGGTGATGAGGCTCTATAATAGCTCATTGAAAGCGATGTTGCTTCTTTCTGGAGCTGACGATTCATCAATAATTCAGGACCGTGTGAGCATAAGTGTCAGGAATCAGACCAATTCCGGTGTAAACACAAACAAGTCGGTCACTGCCGTAGATTCCGGACTGTTCAAGTACAGACATTAATAGAATGAAAGGAAAATTACTGACTTTCCCGCTCCCTGGCCTGAGGAATTTACTTTAGCACATTCCACACATTCCGTTGCCAGACCCTTCATGAAGGATTATACAAACAAGCAAATATAGACGGTCGTGGACATCCTTGCGCGCGATATGGAAACTTTAGTAGCGCGTTACGTCAAGTCAGACGAACAGCTTATCAAGTCAAGGAACGCTAGGACAGCTGGCAGATTGCCAAGCCACACCCTAGCTATGCAACAATAACTGTCTGGTCAATGGCAACAATTATACAAGATATTAATTTCCACCAGTATAGTTTGGTAGCATATAGCACCTGTCGCACGTACGTGAGAGAGTTTAGCTTATTGTGTTGTGCAGAAGACCAGCATTTTGCAAAATAGTAATTGCACACGGAATTGTAATATTAGAACGCAAAACGCATACTGTAATAAGATAGGCTAAGTTGCATCACAGAAAATTACCGAAAATTTGTCTGCAGTGGTAATTGAATCTGAAACGCCGAAGAAAACTTCGTCGAAGTGTCACGTGTAGCATTTGGCCAGGAGTCAGTTTATTACGAATCTACAAAGAGATGACCAAGACAAAGTTTGCTTTGTGTCTGGACACATTCCACGGTCTCTGGGTGGCTCACGTGAAATCCCCTTTCAATGCGTTATGAGAATAATTAGTGAAGTCCACGTCAATCAATGATTTTAGCAGTCATGACATGAATTAAGTAACATGAACAGCCAATGTTATCGCTCACGTGTTACCGAAAACATAGTGCGGAAATAAAAACTTGTCAAAGCACCAAATTTGTATACACGTGACTACAGATGACTCAATAGTCCTCTAACTCGCAATTTTCCTGCTATGTAGGTTGACACCTAATTCACGATACGTAACTGAGAGCCTCGCGGCGCATTACATCGTGCAAGTAGACAGGTGTGTGACATAATTTTGATTTTTCTGAGAACACCCAAGTCTGAGAACACACCAAGTCATACTCAAGTGTAGCCTGTAGGTAAGATTATGTTTTTTAAAAACCTTTGTGGTCCATTTATCAAGGGACTGATAAAATCAATGATATTTACTCTCTTCCATGGCCAATTACACATTACATGTAATGTAAACAATATATTATAAGCTTGATGTTTGCTTATTAGGTGCTCTTATTCAGTATTCACTAGAACCAATATCGTTTTCTTGGAAATGGTCTCATAAAATTAACCAGGAAACTTTATGTAAAATTCAAATTATCTACGCAGTTTGAAAATTGGGTCTGAAGCCACAATTTATCTACATCCAGAAGCCAAGAGATCAAAAATTAAATTTGTACCCGATTTATTAGTATTATGATTTGGAAGGGCGAAAAATTTAGATATGAAGTTATAATTGAAGAACTGAAGAAGTAAAACAATTTAATTCATAGCCAATCTGATTATTTCAACTAAAATAGATTATCTATAATCTAACATGTAAAACATAATTTAAATACAAATATTAAGGAGATATCATTATATCAGAGAACAAACAATACTGGGCAGGCGAATCAACAAAAACATCAAAAAATAATCCAACAATTCAGGTTCTGGATCATTCTGAAAAATCTCCCAATGATATGGGAATTTACAATTGACAGTTACTGCTCTTTGAACAGAGCTAGAGATTTCCGAATACCAGCTGACAAGATGATATCGTGGCGGTTTTTGGAGTCGATCAAGTTCTCATTTTGGAACGGGCGGTTCCAATTTCTCTGACATGACACACATCTGGTTCCACACTTCCTGCCACCTTTCTTCTGAGGCGTTGCTGCACTGAAAATGGCACTATGTTAGCATATATTATATTTTCTAGACCAATGATTAGGATAGAGTCTGACAATATTAAATTGTGTGAACACCTTGTATATAGCTATATACAACTTACACTACACTGCACATATATCTTGAATAATGTGTAAACTATACCATGTACAACCAATAAGAAGAAGCCTCAGCCCGTGAGAAATAATACAGAGATAACTCGCAGCACAGAGGCAGGATGTCTATATACAAATACACGTGATAATATATGAAATTTGTGCCATTGGCACTCAATGTAACATTTTATATCACACATGGCGGCTTTGAATCACAACGTGTACGGTAATGCTATCTTTTGGTCTATTGTGTTTGGGTACACTTTTCAAGGTCGTAAACTAACTTGAGTGAAAGGAAGTTGGAGGAATTTAGCCACAATTGGCGAGGGAGGTAAGCAATACTGCGCACTGTTCAGTTGATATAGTCGGAGCAAGTAAAGTGGTGTTTCTTCGAGTGTCAAATTTGAGTTTTCTCTCGATCCTTCTTCTTTTCCCTGAATTTATATTAAAATTATTGCTTGAATCACATTGAAACAACGTGCATTCATCTCTATTTACGGACAATATAACGACGATGAAATCATCAACTGTGATATCACACGTGACACGATTCACGACTAAATGATAAACAGATCGAAACTTACCGAGTTGGTTTGCTCTACAATGCTCTGTACATTTTCCCGGAGCTTCTCCTCAATATGAGATCTCAGGGGCGAGGGTGATGTGGACAGACTCTTGCTCCGCAACCATTTGAAGGAGCCTTTACTTATGCTGCCTGTCTTTTCAGTTCCACCAGCTCCGCGTTGTTCACCACTCCGACTTAATTCGGTCCAACTGTAGTTATCTGGAGAAAAAAACGTGGATTAATTATCTAATTTGAGATGATTTAACATATTATTATCTAAACTAAAGTTAAGATATCACTCTTATATCATATTTCACACGTGTTTACTCCCTTTAGTTATTTCACCATATAAGACTGAAGCTGGTGCCAGCGGAACAGGCAACACATTTATTGTAACTTGCTTTTGAGTAAACTAACTGTGGAAGGAAGAAGTTGATCGCTTCTGGATGGCGTGCCCGTCTGGTCTCACTGAAGCGGGTGAGGAGGTGCATAGGAGGACGGTATTGACTGCAAGAATGCTGATTGATCCATTTGCAGCGCTCAGGATCAAACTTCATTGTTATTTATCTCGGCTTCTCTAGGACTTTATTCTATTGAGATTTAAACGGCAGTACATGTTGTTATTAATGTCAGTTCAAATCACGAATGTTCGTACAATTTTTACATTTCATTTTTAAAGCTTTAAATCGAGTTTTATTTTAAAAAGAAATAATTTTTTAATTTTAATGATGATATGTAGTATACATACATAAAAATTCTTGCCGCGTACAGAATGTGCACTATCATTTTGTCAAATGCAATGAATATACCAATTGACTTGCAGTTTGCTGATGTAGTGGATGTCTACCTAATTTAAAATTATAAACTTAGACGACAGAACAGCAATCACTATAAATATAATGTGCATGCACCATTTAGTTTTTATGTGACCAATGTCCAATATATCGTATTTTTAAACAGATTTCTATGCTTTATAGACTGATAAAAGAATAAAATTGACACTATTTCGACCAAAACTATAACCAAATTTGCGATCAAAAATCGTATTTTTTCCGAAAAAAATATCGCCTTAATTTCTTGCCGCCTTAATTTCTAGCGCCTTATATTCTTGCCGCCTATATTTCTTGCACTAAGGTATGTGACAGAAAGTTCGAGAAGTCTATTCATTTGAAGGGACGTTTTAAACATTTCAAAAGTTCAAAGCCGTTCTTATCATGTACCGAGTGAACTGAATTAGCATGCGGTTGAAAATTTCCGGGCACTAATCCACTATTCTGAGGGAAATCACGCACAGAAGGGGACTGGCGTGTCAAATTTATCGAATCGAGACGTTTGTAGTGAAATACAGTCTAGATCTATAATTTACATATTGTATTCGCAATGAAAGTAGGTTCACGTTTTATTCCCTTAATGGAGAACTTATAAATGAACTTATAACGATGAATAAAACATGAATACAATGTCGAGTGTCACACCATTTTACAGCTTTTAAAGCCTCTCTGAGCAGTGCTAACACAAATCCAGACACGTAACACTACGCCCAAAGTGAAACTAAAAAAATTCAACATCGACCACATACTGTTCAAGGTGAGCTGTGAGCTGTATTGAGGACTATTTTGACAGAAACTCAGCCAGCTGGAAAGTGGAAGAGTCGGTGTGATGTGTACGATAGTTGTGATGGCTACAGTTCAATATAGGGATGATGCAACACTTCCACTGTGCTCACTGGCAAGTCACACCTTCCTAATATTAAGAGCTTTGAGTTGAATGATGCGGTTCATTTCACCCACATACGCAGATCATTCTACAAGCACTCAAACAATAGCTGGCAGCTTGACAGCAGCTTATTCTATCAGATCTGTGAGTGTACTTATACTGGTGAGAGAGAGGCTTGGCTCTGACATTATGTGTTGTGAGATCAATCCAGCTGAGAATGAGAGAAAACAGATTGTGAGTCAAGGGAAGAGTTTGATGATTAAATTCTCTAGTATATGTATGGCAGAATCTTGCCAGTTTGTAAAATCAGTGCTTAACTTTAGTGTCCATCCAGATCAGATAAATTGTAGACTTATACTAGCACTATTTTCCCATGTATTGGGCCTCATGAAATCGATTTACGAACGGTCGGTAATTCTCAGGAGCTCATTAATTTCTCAAATGAAACTGTGATCATGATGGACCCTCCCCAAGTTTATAATTACAAAGGCAGGCATCGCATCAAATAACAGGCTGAAGTTTTACCGAAATTCACTATTCACTATTGAACAAGGGCCTTAATCATTAAGTCCTAATGTAACGGGTCCGTCTAAGTTAACTGCTCGTTATTCGTTGTTTAACATCGAACTTAACAGTGGCCCAAAAACTCCACTCGAACAATGGCCCTTCTGTCCGTCACGTCCACAAGCTAACGTCCACACGCCTAACAAAAATAAAACAAACTAATTACACTACGGTCCAGAAGTCTATAATTACATCTATTGAGGATTATGGCTCTTTGGATGCCTTAGGCGCAGGCCCTGTTTCTACAAGTACGCATGTTTCATTTGTTGTAAAAAATAAATTAAGATTCGAATAATATTAGACTGTGATACAAAAGAAGATTTTAAAAGTTTTCCGTCAGTTAAAAATGTCCAAAATTTGTAAAGAAATTTTGGCTCCAGTTATTGATACATTTTATTACATTTTCTCTTTATATAAGTTAATGTACCCAGATATGCAATCTTCATTTCCATTCCTATATCATCTTGAAACTACCTCTCAGAGCTCACACACACACACACACACACACACACACACACACACACACACACACACACACACACACACACACACACACACACACACACACACACACACACACACACACACACACACACACACACACACACACACACACACACACACACACACACACACACACACACACACACACACACACACACACACACACACACACACACACACACACACACACACACACACACACACACACACACACACACACACACACACACACACACACACACACACACACACACACACACACACACACACACACACACACACACACACACACACACACACACACACACACACACACACACACACACATATATATAACAGAAACTTCACATATGCAGCCAGTGTGATTAAACTTTTGGAGAGCTTCCCAGGGATCACGTTCCGTCGTTCCACTAGCCTGGCCTGGGGTACACTGTACTCTGAGGTACCGTGATAACTACAAGGTAATAACTGTGGGAGTGAGAGACAGGACAATGACGTTATATTACCAACTTGGCGGGAAACTGTAGGTAACAGCCAGGGAGTAAGACATGGGGACTGGTGGTGGTAAATAGGTTGATGTGACAATGGGAATTACAGGAGTTCGGAGATGGTTCTTTAAAATTTAGATGAGATGTATTTTAGAAGATTTTAGACACATTGAACATGCTACCTTCTATATTCTATAACAATGTACATGTACAGATTAAGTCATGACTATTCTAGTCACACAGACCATGCACCGTGCAGTAACACTTGTTCTGATAAACGGTAGCTACAAAATACATGTTCTCAGTGCTCTCCAAGTCAACCAGATGGGTTTGTTGTCGGGTCACAGTCAATACGTGATTTATGTGTGGCCGAGGTTCACGTCTTTGTTAATAACGAGTATTTTAACATTTTAATGGATGGTAAGTATGTTTGGAAGTAGAGGAGTTTAACAGATATAAAGTATGCAGAGAGAATGAGTTTGTGTGAGTTTAACATTTGTAGACGGTGTTAGCCAGGTGACTGGGGCAGGTGCACGGGCTACCCCTCTCAACATATTATAATTCAATACAATGAGGCTGCTGGCTGCCACGCATTACACCACATACTATACTACACGGAGCTTGTACATTTCTATGTTACACCGTGTATTCCATGCTCAGGGATCATTGGAAACTTGTCTAGAGTTTTCATTGAGAGAAGTCAAATTTCGTCTATTTGAAAATTTCATGGTGGAGGTCAGGTTATGTGCCGAGTAAAATGATGAGTTTTCAGAGTCTAGAACAGGTGAACTGCAGGAGAAACATTGAGATTCAAGTTCTAGGTAATATTTCGTAGTCTACTTAGTTCTCAGTATGTGATAAAGCAATGACCTAGGCGGTCACTCGGGAGTATGTGCTTTCTTGAAATAGTAACCATGATTCTGTGATTAAATATCAGTTGGAGAGACGACCGGAAGTTGAATGGTAATATTAGATTGTTCTGAAAAAAATTGTTCTTCATTTGTCAAACAATGGGCTGGAACAATTCTTGGTAGAAATGAAGTTCTCGTCAAATTTGTCAAGACTGATCATGTTGAATATATTAATAACATAAAAATAGTAGGATTACATTATAACCTATATGCGATTATGATGTAAAGATAGAATTCCAATTATGTCAGATCAAGGTTTTGAGAAGGATCACCGGAATTTTAGGAACGCGGGTAATCCCTCAAAGCAGCTTTACAAACCACAACTCCTATGAAAACCATTAACGATGAGTTAGCTGGAATAATAAATTCCAAAAATATTCGGAATGTTACACTCACCCTCTTGGATGTACACAAGCTTTTCCACATTCTGTTCGTGGTAGAAGAGGTTTGAGTGTTCAAGGTAGTTGAGAAATACTGGCAGGATTGGTATAAAGTAGCCTTTACGTTTTGCTACCTCCAGTGCTATCTTGTAGTTCCTGAGATTACAGAGTACTGTTAGACAAAAGTAAAATAGCACACAATATTCATGGAAAGCCTTGGCCTTAGCTCTGAATGAACTATTATATAGGGTCACTCAATTTGAGGTGGCACTTCCACACGTACCCAGTCTACAATCTAGGTAAACTATAGGTAAAAATATAATATTAATCATAAGCTAAAATGTACTAATCTTTGTATTCTAAATGGGGAAAAAGAAGAAACATTGTCAGTCAGTCGAGAAAATTGTCAGTCAGGCTATATGGCAGCTTTGTAGATGTTGTGACTATGCTAGTAGTGGTCCCAGGCTTGCGACTGGAATTGCGGTGTTAAATCGATTTAATGGTACCAACGATCCACCTCCCACTTGTTGTTTGGTACTTAGCATTAATAGTGTTAGCTGTAGCCATTTATAGCAAGAATCTTAAAACTAAAGGGGATGACAAGGAAAAGAGGAAGGAAAAAGAATAACGGGACAAACAATTAATTAAAGTATTCATAGGAGCATTAGATATTGTAATTACAAGCTTCAATAATAAATCACTGACTAAAACTTCTAATTAAAATGACACTTGAAATCACATAAGAGCCACTAAATCATCTGATACAGACTGGGAATAGTGATATCTATCATTTATCCTTGGTGTAAACTTGAGTATAAAATACCATTGCTTTAATTTCCCTTTAAAGCTTTAAGCGATGTGTCCACATCAGGATATTCCCAGAATTTATTCGCAGAACACGTAACACATTCCCGGAATTTCAAACAAAGCTACAGTCCAGGTGTGGCCTTTCTATCCCGCCTACAATTTTCAACGTGAGGCAGGACTATTTCAGATCAGTGACTGAAATAGTCCTGCCTCACGTTGAAAATTTTAGTATTTCACTGCCTATCCTCACGTTAATTTACGTACATGGGCCTATTAAGTCACTCAGCTTCAGTCTCCAACAATCACAAGCCTCGCAGGTTACAAGACAGAGATAGTATCTATTTCACAAGATACTGTGCCCGGATCACCAGATACGATCACGTTAAATAAATTAGCACTCTCTGGCGAACAGGTGTTGTTCAAAAGAGATCCTGGATCTGATCCAACATTAGTTTATTGTAGTAACCATCACGACAATCTTATATAACTTCTCAAGTAAACCTTTTGTCTGATACTTAAAAAGAAAGACACGTTATTTTGTTGTATCAAGTTGTTGAAGACTCTGAGAGTTTTAAAATACACAGTGAGAGCAGCGTAGCGTATAGAGTGAGTTCAGTTCTACATTAACATGATCTAATTGTAAGTTAAAAGTGTATCTTGTGTGGCAGAGTTCCAGTAGATCAAGTCATAGAGATAAACAACAAATAGTGATAAAACAAAAAAGTTCAGTCAATACTGATGTATGGGTCTAAGGAGGCACATGATGACTGTTATGTTATACCAGAGAGTTAAGGATTGCGCTAAATGTAGACTGTAGACTAGATCTACACCAGATCAGCAATGCGGTCTATGGTTTACTGACGGGGTCGATAATGAAGATTCAGGAGCGGAGGATGCGTCTAGCGTGTCATGCGTATTGACACCCAGACATATCTGCAAACATATTACAATAGGAACCTAATCACGGAGAAAGGAACATCAGTCATGACTTACATGTAGACAACTTTCGAGCTGATACAGGAGGAAAGTGGGAAAATTGGAGGACTCATGCCTGATCTATAATAGTTCTGTGAAGACACCACTTAGATGATGGAACCGCCTTTCCAAGTAACTCAGTTTAAGTAGAAGACACATAAAGCCCACGCCGAGTTTGAATACATGATCTAACAAACTCTTTGAAATAATGTTATTGCCTCTTCTAAATCTCATCGCCACAACAGGTCCAACACACAAAGATCAAATTCAAGGCACCAATTTCATTGTTCTCCTGGATTTTCGTGTAGCTATTGTTATACCTTGTCCACACCTCTATACCAACCAGGGTCTGGGCCATTTTATGGCCTATATGGTGTGCTGGATGTCAGCCAAAGAATGTAAGTCAAATTCCTCAAATATTCCTTTACTAGCTGTACTGAGATATTGTAAATATTCTAGAAGATTCCATCACATGATGTGGAAACACTGCCAAAATTGTTTCCGAGTTTAAATTTCAACCGTGTGAGCCGTTTCAAAAGTTGAAAAGAAGACTATTTACAGAGCTTAACTTGTCGCACACAATCGCAGAGAAAAAGTAGCTCGCTTGTTTTTAACACACCCTCTTTTTCGTAGTATGTAAATACGTATAATAGAAAAATTCATGCTTGAAGAAACTCTGATTATTTCTGCGCTCATCGGCGTCACGTGAGTTAAACTCGAGTGGAAATATTGGGAACAATCTGGAAGACTCTTTAAAACAGTTCCCGTACAATAACTGTCACGTGAGAAAGCAGGAGAGCATACTCAGATATGGTGAGGATACAGTCCGCCTGGTGATAATATCTAGATTGCGGTGTTCGGGATAATGCACATCTGAATTAAAACTTGTTCCTCTCAGTCAGTACAGCTGTTATTCGGAAAAACTTGCGACACGGCCCGACAAGGATTTACTTGTCAGCGGAGCGAGGTGTGGTGTGGTAAGCAGGCAAGCATATGCTAAATAATATGTAGAGAGAGAGAGAGAGAGAGAGAGAGAGATATTTATATATATATATATATAGAGAGAGAGAGAGAGAGAGAGAGAGAGAGAGAGAGAGAGAGAGAGAGAGAGAGAGAGAGAGAGAGAGAGAGAGAGAGAGAGAGAGAGAGAGAGACAGAGAGAGACAGAGAGAGAGAGAGAGAGAGAGAGAGAGAGAGAGAGAGAGAGAGAGAGAGAGAGAGAGAGAGAGAGAGAGAGAGAGAGATATATGGAACGTGTCCACAATCTAATATATATATAGTTTGTATGACAATATAACGAGATCTAGTTTTCAGGGAGGATAGCTGAGCCGCCAATACAATTCTTGTACTGCTCCTTCATAATATGTCACATTTCAAAACGTGCTACATTCCATAACACAGGAGAGGATTAGGAATCTGTTGCGGTTGCCAGGGTTTCACACCGAACCAGAAAATAGGAGTTTCGTGAAGTGCCGGATTTTCAAAATTTGGAGCGTTCCAATGATTGGTGAAGAGAAATAACGACGAATTTCTGCCGGAAATTGCCCGTAAAATGGCGAATTGGTGCCAAGCGCATTTCATTCTTTTTATCCAACGGGCAAATGACTTCAAATTAGACACTCATTGTACCTCGTTCCAGACAAAAGCAGAACAGTATTCAGTAATCAAGTAATCATTATATAGGTACTGGAAATCTAATTCGTTGGACTCCTGCCAGCAGGCTATCAAAAGCTGGCATCTTTCCAGAGAAATCCGAAAGGTCGACACGGCAGTGAAATTGGCTTTTCGTTACAAATTGGAACCATGCCAAGAAGACACATTTAATTGTTAATCCTTGTTCCTATCATGTACAACTACTATTTCTGCAGAAGAACAATGATATTGAACAACTTCTACCACAGGTGACAGCTCGCTACGATTCATCGACTTCTGCAGTACAATGATGATTCAGTATTGCACAGTACACTGGTTTTCCAAAGAAAAATACCACTGGTTTCAGAAGAAAGATATTCAGTAAGGTTCAGTGAAACTCAATTAAAGAAGTAGAACTAGTAGTTCCATGGAAACAGGTCAAACACTTGCAAGAGAGAACCAGCCACTATCCGGGCGGCTACTGAACATTTTATTAGTTAATATCACTTGATGCATTTTATGCATTAAGATCAGGTTTTAACCAATCTTTAATATAACTATCTAACCTATCGTGTATCGTGCCTTTATAATGCTCAAATTAGAAGGTGGCCCAATGCCAACCAAACCAAGCAAGCATTATTTCAATATTGAAATGTATTCAACATAAATTTGAGATTAATTAACCGCAGACCATCTTTAAGACTGAAGCCAAAACATAAATTGCTCGGCGAGCCTGCCTAGGGATGAAAGATGTTGCCTGATATTTGGACATCGGCCAAGGCAGAATCAATAGCCAAGATAGCTCCTTTAATAGACATATTATATGGAAATTTTATGACTTGGAGAGATTCCAGAAGCTTTTAATACTTTCATATAAAGGTGTCATTCGGGAGCGCACGTGACTCATTTAAACTCGGAGCAGGGGACTGAGTGGTTGACATACATCTCTACTAGACTCTCCCTGAGTATGGAGGAGTTATGTTCATAATATACAGAGTAAATTCCGCCAATTCGAGTTCCAGTAGCTTATTGAATCAAAACTATGACGTGAACACCGCACCTGATAACAACATCACACCTTCCTTCATGGACCGTGCCCTAAACAAAATGATAACGATATAATCAGAATTGTGCCGAATTTGACTGTAAAATTAGTGAATATGCGCCAAGAAGAATGGTTTCTTGTGTCACGTAGACAAGGATGGTACCTCTGGGAGGGTGTAATTTTCGGGCTCGAGAGAAAGGAATTCTGAGTGTGTGAGTGGTGTAGTGTAAGGTCTGTAAACGCGGGAGTTTGTCAGCCAGGACCCACGGCACTGATAGCTCAAATCTAGAAGTTGTGTCTCACTGGTATGCAGAGAATTCCTCAACAGACAAGGCAATTAGATTTCAAGTGATTTCTGTGAGTTGAAGCGACGAGTTATCCGATTAGCGGGCCCCTCCACACCGAGCGGATAGGGGCCAGGTCCGGGGAGCCTGGTTACAGCTGGTGGCGGTACTCCTGCTCGGGTTACGTGCTCCACATTCCTCAAATACCAATGAACTGCCAGGATCTGCCGTGGTGACGTCAAACTGCCCTGCTAGCCTGATCACAGTCAGCCCATCTGCACCGGACACATTCTTTAAAACGCTGGAAACCCCTAGAAGAACTAACGACCTTTCTAGAAACTTGCTGACTTGCTGATTGCTGAACTTGCTGCTGTTGCCATGGCAACTCTGCCTGTCAAGGATATTTTTGCTTCAAATTAGCAGTTAACTTGTTTTGTACAAATTCTTTACGCCCACTTTTCTTTGTTTTTGATAGCAAGTTATACGTGTGACAAAGAATTATTTGAGCTGCACTTGGTAGGGGTTGGACCTAGCCAAGGAATTCCGGTCAAGCACCTTTCACACTTGCTGCACTTGATTTCACATAATATATGCGTACAACTGAGGAGTTTCATCAGACTGACTATAATATACTATGCGGGGCACTGCCCTATACTCAGGGACACATGTATTTAAATTAGGAACACGTGAAACTGTCAATTAGGGAGGGGCTCCCAGCTCAAAGGCGGGGCTCCCAACACCGCTCACCCCAAGTCCAATATATGCAACGAGAAAAGCATTCCTACCAATCTTAGCTGTGAGAAGGGTGTAAGGACCAGTGGGGGGTGGCAAGTGAGACACGTGACGAGCTAGCTACCAGGAAGTGTAGGCACGGTACCACGTGCAGTTACTATAGTAACAACACGGCACCATGTGGAGTTGCCATGGTAACAGCAGCTACTGGGGTGTCGGTATGTCTAGAGTGGTAGAGCGGACACTTTGAGCCTGCACTATTTTCAGTAGTGTTCAGTCTGCCGAGCGGTTCCCGGAACTATGCTAGTACTTCTGTACATTCCTTCTACATGCTTTGTAAAGCATAGCCATCCACCTGTACATTGCTTCTCCACTTTTTGCCCTACCAACTGTACTCAGTACTTAGAGTGAAAAGGTAAAGGCCCCTACTTAGCAGGCTACTAGAAAAGCAACAATGGCTAAACACATGTTTGTACAAGCCACGTGGTCGATAGTATCCTGCCAGCTGCCTCGCTGATATCCCTTGGTATGTAAGTAGTAACGTTCTGCAGAAGTATCTCAGTGTTCGTTGAACAATGGTGGATAATATCAACCTGCGGGGTCGACTTATATCACGTGTTACACTACTCTCTCTCTCTCTCTCACACACAATCACACAGAAGGGGATCCCTCCTCAAGCCGCTGCCCCTCTCGGTCCTCGTAATGAGATATTATATTTCAGCTGAGCTGGGGCCGTGTAATGTAATGTGTATGTGTGATAATGAGCACGTCTAACGTTCCTCTGGCCGACCTGCCTAAACGAGGACGTGTTGGTAAGGCCCCTTCAATCTACCTGCATCAACATTCTCAAGCTGAAGCTTGCTGCGCATGAAACGCCTTGATGTAGGCTCTGCAACGTGTTTTCTTCTGAGAAAGCAAGCAAAACATGCCGTATATTTTTGAAGGTGAGCTAAGCAGGGAACCTCCGGTGTGTCTCGCCAACTCTAATTTAATTTTAGATATCACAAGATTACACAACACAGCTCCATGACCAGTCAGTTCCATGACGTATGCGGTCATGTTATCCTACTCAGTTTGGCACTTTCGTCTTTTCGTTACTTTCGAGTTGATGAGAGCCACATCGACTAAAGGCAAATATAGTTCATAACAACAGCAGTGTAAAGAAACGGTCCTCATTAGTCTTCAGTCAGATGTTGCGACTCTAATTGGCAACGATACCAGAAACAGTACTTTCTACAATCTACGGATCGTAAGATAGCGACCAAGTGATCTGTTAAAATATTTAAATTCTTTCTTGCTACATTTATCAAGAATGATCGGTTACAACGTTATACACTGTGTCTGACATCATACGGGGACCATGAGGAATGTTCACATCAATATTTTGTAGGTGGTAGGAGCAATCAGCGGTCCCGAAAGTGTACAGGTGGCCCGGATTTCCAATACTTGCGGCTCCCTAACAAAGGGAGGCCACAGAAGGAGCAGTCAGATGCGGCCAATTTCACAATCAAAAGTCTCAATGAAGTCATTAGAATTAGTGTCAGAGAGCAACGTTCTCTGTGAGAGCATCGCTCTCCGATTTGGAGAGAAGCCAGCAACTTCTCAACAGTTCGCTGTTCTGAGGCGTTTAGCGGTTTTTAGAGGGAAAACTTTAACGCAATGGAGTGTTGCAATAGTGAATTGTGACAAAGAGCGGCGTGTTCAAGACGTCAAGTGTCGTCACAATGCTCCACTCTCTTGAACGTCACTGTTCGTCACTCAGCCACTTTAAATTCCTTAGAAGCGAGCAAAAAAGGGCGGGTAATTGACAGGGCTGTAAACAGGAGCAAATGTTGCTAATGAGAGACTTTATCTGGCATCACTCCATCATATTTTCCAATGAATAGAAACGATATAACCAAGTTAAGATATAGCTTGAAGCTCACACACACACACACACACACACACGGTGATGGCCACTTTTTAAAGGAGCTGTCTGGACTCTCAAAAGTGATAAACAGGAGAAGGCGAGAGAGCAGCCCCCAATTAAAATATTCAGGACCTAATGAGCAGGCCCGGGGAAGCATGCAGACTGTTTTGTAATAGTGGACTACTTGGGGGAGCCGCGGCCCTTAAATCCCTCCACCTAGGAGACTTCCAGACTACAGTGTACTAGGCTCCTCCTCCCTATCACACTAGGAGAACTGTTAAAGGCTTTGTAAGGCGATCTCTATCTGACAATATTGTAGAGCTATTACTCTATTTTAGATGGCTGTAACTTGTAAGTTAAATAACATACATTTTACGCTTTATATAGATCAGTTATTGAAATAACAACCGGGAATATCCGTATTATATTGTGGTATTGTCAACTTTTCTATAACCCTTCTTAATGAAGTGAATGTATCGAGATTATCAGTATATTTAATTGTTCAGTATTACACGTGACAAACTGTCTCAAGTTTCAAAAAAACTGTTTACTATTTTGTTTATTCTTAAGATAAACACACTCCATTAAGTGTACGACGTACGTGTTATGTGGTAGCAGTGAAACGTTGAGACAATGACGATATTACGTTTAGTTCTCAAGTGCCATTATAGAAGTACTTAGCATTACTATTAATAATAATCTCAATTTACTAAAATATAGCTTAACAGACAGTTTCTTGTCTCAATTCTCAAGTAAACTTACTTCCATCTCATCCGCGAATGTACAAGGTTAGATAGCGAAGTGAATAGTTTCTTGCTGGTTCCATTGAGTAGTTCCCAAGTCTTACTGAGTCGTGATATCGCGTTTAGAGTCAGACATTGGATTATAGTGTGGACCGTCTCAAAGTTGTTCAGCTGGCGACACTCCTCCGCTATCTGAGAGGAAAAATAATGGTTAACATATTTTTATTACGTCTTGACCAATTTAACTTTTCTATAATTTTTTTCTTGATTTTCAAGTGGTTAACGGAGTAATTTCATCAAGTTAAAATATAAAATCTACATATTAGGCAAACGTAGATGAGACCATGATAAGACAGGGAGACATAGTATACGTGACAATATTTAAATCGCATCTATAAAATAAGATAAGATTTTGAAGAATAGTACTCTTGGGTATAGTTTTCAATTTTCGAGAGAGGTTGAATTGTTTACAATATACAATTCGAGACCCTTGGCCTTACTTCCTTTTATTTATCATCGTTTCTTTTATGATCATCACTATTGTATAAAGTACAATTTATTTATCATTTTCATCATACGAACTGTATCTTTGTATGGTAACCTCCCATTTTAGAGGACCATTAGCTATAGTTACTAATATAACTGCAACTATTTCTCAATACTATTTGATTCACTAATGTCTTTTCATAATGAGAGTATGACATCATAACATAATATAAACTTAAAGGCAAAGGTAATAACAACAGAGGCCAGATCTTCCAAGCTTATAAATATGCTGCAACCCAAATTAGAGGCTCGTGTTCACTATCCTGTGCAGACCACAGTTAAGCCCCCTCTCTCCAGCCCAGGTGTAATGACGTCACGTAGTGGTAGCGCCCTCATCACACCACCAGAACAGCTTGTACTGCCTGTATAGTACACAGAGTGTGAGGGTGGGTGCGAGGGAAGGTGTGCAATGTGTGACGTCACACATGTTGGAGAGGGCTAGTTTAGTGTGTTTGCTTTAGAGAGTGTGACGTCACTGTTGGGCGGTAGTGTGTTGCTCCTCCTCCTCCTTTATTGTCTGACCACTCCACACCAGGTGCTCTCCAACTCCTAGCTCTCTGCAGCCGTTCCTGCTGCTGCGAGGACCAGTCACACACATCATAATATAGGTTTTCTTGCAATACTTCCCACTAAAGTTCTGCACAGAGAACATCTGGCCTGCGAGGGCGTGACCCGTGGCGACTACGTGCACTACGTCATTCTGTACTTCCTGTGTCATTGGTTTCAGAAATAGTCAGAAAGTGTTGCGAAATCCTGCAGAGTGGCGCTGCACAGGCAGTGCTAGTAGTGCAGTGCACAGCTCAACTTGAGTCATATATGGTAGTGATGGGATGGAGAGATTCTAGGAAATCACTAACTATCCTATCAAAATAGAGGTCATTTTCCAATGTTCGTAAAGAAAAACAAGAAAATATAATTAGCAGTGCAAACTAATTCCCATCTGAATTGAATACATGATCCACTGCTAAAATAATTCCCTTTGATCTCGACAAATTTCCAGAAACCTGACCAAAGAGCAGCCAGAAGAGAAGCCAGTAGAACCATGAAACTGGTTAAAGATATCATTACAGATGGGATATGAGCTACTGGGCTTTAACCTGATTATGAAGTAGTTTTGTATGTAGTTCTAATGCAATGCTATGTAAAGGACCGAGGTTGTGCCACTACGTTTTCTGATTTTATAACCTTAACAGTAAAGATGTTCAATGATACAGGCCGGTGTTAAGATCAAATTTATTTCACCAGTGTAAACTCCCTCTTATCTCTCTGAATTCACATGGAATGTAAATTTACATTCCAAAAGTCAGTGGTTTCGTCTTTTCTTCTGCTGAAAACGACAGGTACAGTTTCGGTTGAGAAGGACAGTGGACACGTATAGGTAGGATTGAGATAATCACTAACCAGCTTCAAATTAACTTTCTGAATAGAGCTGGTCCCTTAATGAAAAAGCTAACAATAGACTGGGAACGGTAATAATTTATCGGTTGAAGACCAAGTATCATTTAACTTGCGTGACCAGTAATTTAACTTTAAGAATTGAGAGTAAGTTATTGTAGAAAGTTTTACCTGGGCGCCTTGGCAGGCGGCATGTTAAAAACAATTACTTACGGACATTGACAATACTGTGGCCCGGCTAAGAAGAATAAGCATAATATCCGTTTGACGTTTTTTGTAATTATATTACTCCTTCCTCTGGAACAAGGGGCCTTCTCCTGACAGCTTGACAATGTAAAGATGTCACTAGAAGGCCCCTTACATGATATTATTGTAATGATATTATAATAATATCATAATGATAACATAATACTGATATAATTATAAGGCCACAATTACAACATAAACAGGTTTAATATTGATAACCGGTGTGAGATGTAGAATAAACTTTTGACAATTATAAAGGGCCATGATAGAGGCCATGTAATGGATGTCCTTGTTTTACTGCGCGTAAATTACATGATACAATTTATTTTAAATCTTATAACTGAGAAACTTTGTACAAGTTAATTGTTGACGGAAGCTTAGATCCTAAACCAGATGCTGGTTAGATTTAAGATTATACTTTGAATCTCTACCAGGTAAACTTTACACATTAACTTACCGTGATGAGCCGTTTGATGACTTTAGCTCTTTTTTCCACGTTATGCTCTTGTAAGATCCACTTTCCAAACATGCACTTTATCAGATGATTGTGGAACTCTATCATTCTAATAACATTAGGTGCTGTCGTGTACTGAAAATAATTGATTTTGTTAGCTACGTGGCTAAGGGGACACGTCAACAACAATTAAAAGGTAGTAATCAATTTTTAGAGACAGCCGTTTAAAAGTCGTTCATAATTCTGGAGAATTTCAAGTAGTCAAGACGCTGCTATCTTCTGCAAAATTTTGTAAATAGTGAGTTTGTCTGTTTTATAATACGTTCCGTGCAATGATGCGTATCAAAGATGAAAGGCTTTCCCCTAATTTGCATGCTTAAGAGCCTACCGCAGCGATTAGTGGGGTTATGAAACTTTTGAGAAGTTAATAAATTGGGAGAGTTTGCAGATAAATTTGTAAGAACTCGCTTTTTATTTTACTGATGCCAAGTGTGCAAAAACGATGACGATCCGCGGGCGTGATAAACGTGACCGATGATTATTTCAGAGGCCCAAAACGAGGAGCCTGCATATTTTACCTCGCAGAAAGATAAAGGTACCCGACTTAACAATGCCCTAACACGCCCAGGGCATGCAGATTAGTTTGAGGGACCTGGAAGAAAATGGGAAGATTTCCCACCATAAGGGCGCCCAGAACAATTTGGATAATGAGAGACCTTTTAACGGGTTAAGTTAAGTAGCAGGAGGTTCGTCTCCAGGGTGTGGGAGCTGAAAACCAGGGGAGATACAGAGAGTTAAACCCACTCTAGTGAGCCCTCCACCAGGAACTACTACTGCTACTTCAGATAGGGCTAGAGAAGCCCCTTCTGAGCTACGGTGAAGCCTGTCAGCTCTGGTAAAATGCCAATATAACGACGCACACCCGGACCCCGCCCCACACGGCTGCTACTCAACCCACATTTTACCACATTTCCTGATCCCCCTCCCTTTCCGGGGAACAGGCTGGGTCTCATTTCGGGTGAGCGTTTGTGCGAGGTTCCTTTCCGCGAACGATAGCTTCTTCGAACACCGCGGTATAGTTGCAAGTACATAATTAAAGTAGTTTTCAGGAAGCCAGGCCAGTGAACTAGAGTATCAGTTTGAAGTTAGCTGGCATCACAGCGAGCACAGCTGACAAGATGCAACATTGTTTAACTCCGGAGTCAGGCTACACTTTACATTCCGTGTAGACCTGGCCCACGACCGAGTATAGGGTGAACGTCTAGGACTGGAATTTGAAAAGTTGCCAGTGGTCGGGTGTTGATGATCTCACAAGATGTGGGGAGTAAGATAGGGAGGGAGAGAGAGAGGCTAGGGAGAGAGAGAGTGAGTGCCGGGTCCGTGTTGACAAGTCAGCGATGAAAGACAGCAGTAGCTGACTCCACCCACCAGCGGCCTATTGTTTAGTAATTACCTACCTCACTCCTGCTCAACAATACATCCAATTGTCTATGGCAGGTGTAAGCCTTTCCAGGCCGACACTTCAGCTCTGATTTAGGGTAGATGTGTACTGAACCTCCTCTTCATACTTGGTTACAGGTCTAGTTACACAGGGCACAGTGTGACAGTGTGCAGTGTGGTGTGCACTGATATATATAAACCAACTTATCCGGTCTAAGATCTGGTGCTATCTTCTGGCACATATCCAAGTTATTCAGTACCAGGCTTGTAGCGGGGTTGGGGAGTTGAGCTTTCAGGTGATACAAAGGTAACACTGGTTGAACTTGAAGGGTTTAGGTGGTGTCCATTAACAGATATCAGTACTAGTGTTATATAGCCTGACCTTATCTCATTACAGAGTGTATTGGCTCTGTGCCCGACTAAACCTTACTCCCGCAACGTTACAAGCCTTAGTCAAATGATATTAATTAAAAGAACCTTGGCCAATGGACTGGGCCCGATCCAGAATCAGAGCGTATTATCAGTAATTACCAAACTGGCTGTGAGCAGCCATTGGCGCAATCTCAAGATCGAGCTTGCCAGCTGAATTTTGGCAGTGTTTCCTTAGCTTTATGTCAAAGTTTTGATATCATGGCCGTATATGGTATAATGAAGATCGTATGAAGATATTAAAGTCAGACGACCTTTTAGTGATCCACAACAAGATTTGACAAGTGTGTTCCCGCCTAACAGGTGGAACCAGTACAACATGGTGTGACTGATGTGACTGCTAGACTGCCCTTATGATTGGCTGGGCACGTAGACTATGTTGATCGCTCGTTCATAGCTGAGCACCACGGAGGAATGTTGGTGGAACACAGCATGGAGAGTCAGATATCGCAGTGTAATCGGCTGAGCAGTTCAGACAATCTCACTTTTACTGAGAACTGCGTCACTTCTTACTAATTCGTGTTTGACAGCAGTAATCCCTGAGACTTGAAAAACTCGACTAGAATTGTTTAACAAACAAAATCAAACGATTCTGAAACTCTTACCTTCTTTTTAGAAGTCCAGGCTCCTTTCTGGAGCTCGAGCGGGGAAATAGCCTGCAACATTTCAGCCTGATACCTCGTCAGCTCTTGAGCTATCTGCACTGGTTTCAAGGTCAGGATACTCAACATGGACTCAGTCTCCGAAGAATGTCTGTAATGAATCTCACTGCTTGCTCTACAGTTCAGTTCAGGAGAACCGTGCGCGTAGCGGTTACCTATGTGACGACACAAACCACCCTGTTCGGCTGTAGATTTAGTGAGTCCGATCGTCTTGACGATATACTGGTATACTTTATTGTTCGAGTGTTTCTTCACTTTGACAGACTTGAGGTTGCTGGGCAGGGAGTGGGGTTTGTTGGCGTTTGTCACACTAACACGAGGAGTATTGTCAACGGAGAGTGATCGTGGCATGGAGCGCTTGCTCTGGCGTTCTGAACCGTACGAGTCAGTTGTGGTGCTGTCATCCGAGGTGTTGGTCTGCTGTTCCAGGCTGGTCTCCGTTTTGTTCCAGGGCTGGTCAAGGGTTGTGTCGTTGTTTGACATGGCGGCCATCGTGAAACTCAGGTCTGAAACTGGAGGTGTTTTATCAATATACAGCCTGGTGGTGATAAGTTTTACACATTCATAACTTGTTCTTTTTTACCTTAGAATTCTTCGGAATAACTGGACAAAAACGGGATAAACCTGGAACTCGAAAAAACACCCTGTCAAAATGACACACTGCATCTTGACACTCCCAAAGATCACACCACAACAACACGGTCACTCACACTTTATCACACTGTACTATATTCACACTTAACACAAGAACTGTAAATACACGATCTAGCAACTGATGAGCATAGTATGATACTGCATGATTGGAATCTAGCCTATTTTAAAAATATGTGCGATAAACTGAAGCATAAGGTCCCGTATCATGTGTAGTGGTTTGGCATATTATCTGTAGCGGTTTGGCATAGACTGAAGTAAGAAATTGTCAACGTCAACTAGTATAATCAATTATGATTAAGACTATTGAAAGATTGGACTGTGGCTATTTTCTTTCACAGCATCTAGGCAATTTTGGAATATAATGTCGAAATAGGCGGCAACAGCGAAAGTCTCAATATTTAAGGAGCCTACTGCAATTGTTAGATCTTTAGTTAGGCCAAGAATATACATTTATGAGAACATTTGTGAATAAATTCGTAATAAAGGTTTATCGTTTCTCTGCAGGAAAAAGTCTCTATTTTGTCAAAAAGTCACATTTTTGCAGAGAAACCTTTGTTACGAAATTTATTCACAGATTATCCTATTATCCCCTCTCTTTTCTAATTCCAAAAGCAAAATGACTTTTGTAGTACTGAATTTTGCCCCCCCCCCCCCCCCCCCCCCTCCCCTGTAGTTCTGCACGGAAGTAGAGTTTAGAGAGTCGCAATTTATAGAAATTATGCCGCACCTGTTAAACAGACTGGTCGCAAGAATGCCAGTTAATTACACTTTCAGGACAAATAACCTTGATATGAAACAATATGAGATGTGACTTCTGGCTTCTTGTCAACTTTTCCAATACTCCTCATCATATTATGATATGAAACATCTGAACATAGTTTAGCAATTAAGACTTGCATTTAGCTTAGTGTTTAGGACTTAGGAGCATATAATATTTCAAATCAACAAACTCTAGTTACACATGATCCTTAGCTGATGGCCGATCTTCTAAAAGTTACAAACTGGACTATTAAATGGTATTTCGTGTTCGCTGTGTGGTGTATTAAGGTATTCGATACATTACGAGTTTTTCAAAACACGTATCATTTTACATTCCATACAAATGGAAAAATTCGGGACTCGAGAGTAAATCTCAATGAGGTCGGCGGTTGAGAGCTTTTAGAAAGATAGGTGCAACGGAAAGCAACAAGAATATAAAAGCCCAAAAAAATTTATATAAAATCATAAATAAGCCCTTGCATAATGCATATTGCATTTTAATAAAGTACAAAGTCAAGGTGTGATCATGAATTTTTGCAACCAGTGATTATTTCTGATACTCATTCCTAATTTCCTACAGGTAACTAGACAGTAACTTAATGGGAGTCCCGCTAGAACCTCCCAAAAATACAACCAATGAGGATTGAGGGGGTGAGACACGATCACATATATATTACGACTATATATCACGACTATATATCCACCATCTTATTATGCACTCTATTCTGCAAGTATAGATAACTTTTGGATGGAGAGAGCGAGAAAGAGAGAGACGGAGGACACAACTCCCATTTATAGCACTCTCTCAAAGCTCAGCAGGCCCCGAACAATGAGGTTGCAACACCCGTGCAGCGAGTGAAGCAGTGACCTCACACACGCTCTGCTCCACTTACATTATATTATAATAGCTCTGTACGTTTACTGTGGGTATTGCTACTACAGATACAAAACAAATTACAGCAACAAGGTTCAGTGTTGAGAACACGTTAACAATTCAAAATGTGGTGGTTTTAACTTTTGTTGCAATTGAGCCGACATGTGTTCTCAGCATTTTTCTCCGGAATACAGACTGGAAGTTGTTTAATGAGGGGGGATTCTAAACCAGACTGGTTTTCTAGATTAGTCAGAAAAAATAAAAGGTTTCTAACTAAAGAGAGGAGGACATGGGGATCTGCGCGAGCTGGCGGTAACAGGCTAAACGTGACTAGCAAGGCAGCTCTGACATTGACAGCGTAATGATTATTTTAGTTAGATATTAAAGGGGTGGAATTCGATCCCGATACATTTTATAGGTACACATCTTACTAATTTTATGTAACGCGTAATCCATTATTATGTAGGTAAACTATTTCAGTATCTCATTTATATGAAGTAATTAAATCTATAAGTATTAAGTATAAGTGATTGAACTAATAATAGCATCTCACTGGGTATGACCAGGAAAGGCTCGGTAATTTCTGTCTGACAGAAGGGATAGATCACTGGTTAATACAATTGTAAGGAAGACAGTTAAGCCTTGGCGGAGTGCCAGGGGAATACGGAGCAAAGCTGTAAGACCGTTTAAATGAATCTACCAAAAATAGGGACTAACGACAGAGGAACGAAATAGAGTCAGACCAATAAATCCTCATGTTACAAAGTGTACCTTATCTTTTAAAAGTAGCATGGGTTATAACTCTTATCATCAAGTTTAATACTTAAGCATTATCAAAGTCAAACATATTTTTTTCTATGTTAAACATCATTATCACGTTGAATTTTATACGATATGTTAAGCTGAGTAAAGCTCATTTACCATCTTATTCTTATCTTATAATCGAGATCTATCAGTTTATCTTATTGGTTACAAAACAGATTAAAAAGAAGTCAATAAATATGAGCTTTATTGTAAAGTACTCGACGGGACAGGAAGGGATAAAATAAGACGGAACGTTATTCTCAAGAAACTTTTAAAATCGGCTACATTAAAGATGAATATTATTAGATATAAGTAAGGCTAAATATCTGGCTTGATAGTTACTTGATTAGTACTATTATCTCTGACTCATGCCCTGTTTGACTGTCTGATATTGCGATTTGAGGAATATTAATGACATAAATTGTCCATCAAAATCGGAAAGGGGTAAGTGGACTTATAAGCCCATTTTGGTTAAACGTGCCTCATAAAAATCATCAATCTGTCACCCATACCCATCGGCTCGCACGAGACTTGAAAATTGGACGACATAAATGAAATAGAATCTATCGATATTTTGAATTGAAACGTCCCTCCTGGCAAGCCAGAAGGGTACGACCCCTAATATTTAATAAGCAAAGATGAAGGGGCCACAGATTCTGGGGGTCTCGGTCTGCGCAATCGTCTAGGAGAACTGTAAACAGAAGCTGGACTGTCTCGAGGAGTGTATATTATACATCCATGGCATTTTGGGGTAGATAATATGTATATATGCGTGGTACCTATCACAAGCAATGCGATAAATTACACTACAGCTTTACTGCCTGGAAAGACCTACGATAGTGCTAGAATATTGTAGCAGTGCTAGTATTATTAGCAACACCTTTGAGTACGCCCTAAGGGACTGCAGCCTAGTACTTCAATTTGATAATTAATACTAATCATATCGGCAAAAAGAGTTATAATTACCAATTATCATTATACTGATAATTTGTTTGTTTAATTGAACTGACCATTTACGGACGGTGATTTAGGATCGTGCGAGTAGCTCCGCGGTCTGCAGTCCCCAATCGGCTTGTTTTTGTAATCCCCGAGAGGAACCCTTCTTTTGCTGATGGAAAAACTGTTTTAGCATTATTAGTACAGCAATATCAACAGAATGTACCGTATATACATCGAGTCTTTATTCAGTTTGATTTTGCTCTTTTAATGATTATACATATATCTGCCAAGATTCTGTGAAAAGGTATTTCTTCGAAAAGTATTAGATCGCCTTATCATAAGATAAAATCTTATCACAAAATTATTTGTCAGTTTGTGAAAAATTGGGCCACTTTCAACAAATCTTTCTAAATACAAATTAAGCTAGACAATCTCAACAACTTTTCAAATGACTTGATCATATGAGCTACAATTTCAAGAATACTTTTGGCAAGGAGGTAACAAAGTAGGTACAGGCGTTGTCTATGATCGGACATGTTAATATGGACCTATAAAAACGTACTTTGTTCAGCCCAAAGTCTGGTACTAAACTCTAGACCTACTACTAAGACAGATTTCAGACAAGATATGATCTCAGATTTACCCCACAAATGAGTCGGACGGGCGTTAGTTTACACCTCTCCCTTCAGTAAAAATACACTTCTAATTTTGTGCTGGAAGCCGGATAAACTGGATATTAATATCTAAATATAACGTTCCCGTATTCCGTGTCGTTACCTTTTGTTGAAGTTCACCTCCTCGTCCTCCACCACGCCAGGCAAGTCCTCGGAGCGGTGCTGCAGCTTCTCCTTCATCTCTATCCTCACATCACAGGACTTGAGCTGCTTTATCCACTCGCTCGCTTTGCTCTCCTACACCGGAATTACACTGTCAGTGCACGTACTATACGACTATATATATAATATAATAATATGTTGTACCTGCACTTTGTTGTATTGCTATACGGGATATTGTACGGAGCACAAATTCATTAACGAGTATTGGAATCGGTGACACGGTATTTAATAAAAACAGGTGTAAATGTTTCTGTAGCTAACTGTATGGACCGCGGCGCTATTAATGTATTAAATATAGTTGTATTATAATGATTCGGTTAACCCAAAAAACATAAGGAAAGTATAGCACTCTAAACATTTGTCAGACAGCAGTTCATAATTATTCCCTTTTCAGTATATGCAATCAATGATCTGTGATGGTCGCGCCCCGCCCACAAAGTCAGATAAAATCATTATTTTATGTTCCACAAGTAATAGCAATGATAATATATGCCCGGGTCTCACGGCCGCCGCAAGATACAGCCTGAAAAGTGCACTGTACAGTTAGCGGTGTGCGGATGAGATAAAATGAATTAGAGAGTGTAGAGAGTGTAGAGTGTGTGTACCAGGTACACAGGCCACACACACATAAGGCCCGTCTGACAGATGCCTCACTGTAAAATACACATGACGTCATTTTTAGAATGGCTTCTCAAAGCACTTAAACTTGACCAAGCCCTCGCAGGGCAGTGTTCAACGCCAGGTGGAGTAATGGTGTGTTCTGTAGAAATGGAAGTGGTGTGGATATTAAGTGTGCACAGGAATAGTTGTTTTTAGTGGACAGCGCTAAGTAAGTGTAACTGTCTTAACTTGGAACAGTTGTCACTCACAGAAAGTTACGACAAACGTGAGTTTTTAGGTTTCTTATTGTCGGAACAAAAATCAAGAATAGATCCTGATCTATATACTATAAATATAATAATACGTTAGGTTAACATTTCTCGGCTGTTTCCGGAGTCTGTTAAAATTGAGAACGTTTTCGTGAGTACCATGTTCATCTTTATGGTCGCTAAATAATTTTGCATATTCGTTGTTATAAATATTCTTAAACAATTAAGCCGATATATTTAGAAACGTCAATATTAAAAAATTTGGGAATACAATTTATTAGGTACCTACCCCCTGCTTGCTTAAAAAACAGCAAGACAATGTGATATCACCAATTCGGATTAAAACGATTTCAACACATTATGCGTGACAAAATCATTACAAAATCGACTGATATAATAATACGTTGGATCAATCTATATCATATCGAATATAAAAGATAAAAGATAAAAATGTAATGGAATTCACATAATATTATAAATATGATATTTCCTCTTATCACTAGTTATTTGTTAATCAAGTTTAAACATCTAGACTTGCTGATTTTATGATAGTTAGATTAAACTTATGTAAACTTAATTCTTAGTATAGCTTTATGCATAGTGTTCAATTGGCTACACATTAAATATATACAACAGAGCATTGAGGCATGCCATACTTACTGGTATACGAAAAAGTCTGATCCTTGCTCCCTCAGGCGTAAGGGACTGTCCAGAAGTAGTTTCCATGCTCAAGATGTTCTTCTCGTGCATAAAAAACTGAAGTTCTGACAGTTTGTGAACAGACTCAAGGATTTTGGAACTGAAATAAGACAAAAATTTCAGTAAATGTTGAGCCGAGTTCATCAATAATTGTGTAATCCATGAAAGTACAATAATAAGTACATAAAATGATCGAAAAAGTTGGAAAATGTATGACTTCATTAATCAGAGTACTTACTGAATATCCTTGTATTCATCACAAATGGTAAACACAATGAATTCATCAAATAAGAAAACGTCTAGAACGTTTTTAGACTCATAGTTTCTGGGATCTACTTCGTCGACATCTCCATGCATCAACAACTGATCGTTCATTAAAAATGAAGGGAAATTCTTAACCTGTAGAAGTGTGACAAGTTAGAGGCTGATTGGTAATAATATTGTGCAAACGTTTTATGAAGATTCTTAATTGGTAGATATTGAATGATTCAAGCATAAATGTGTCCTTATACAACAAATTGAAAACTATAGATTATTACTATCAAATAAAGTTCTAAACAAGGGATGGTTGAAAACAAAGCCCAAGTCTAATTTTTCCCCTAAAATAATATACATGTATGTAATAATGAACCACAAACTTCTTGGTAGAGATGTGATGCTGTCTTCCGTGGCAGATACAGAGACTTGCAGCTGGAATCGTTTATCATAACTTTAACCATATAATTCCTAAATGTTTGATTAAATATCAAACAGACAGAAAGGGCATTGCTAATCATACTTTACATCAAGCTTCGCATCAACTCACAGCAGCTACCCCATAATGTACCAGGCAAAGATTAATACACTAGGCCCATCAATTGTTGCACTGCATGGTAGATGCATAAAATAAAGTATAAAATAATACATTCAATCAAATCATTTGATGCAATTGGCAGAGCACAATCAAATTAAGAGTTGCAATTAGCAGATACATTGCTAACAATATTTTAAAACTTTAACAATCAAATATATACACACAAGTTTCAAAACACATGATCTACTCCATTATAGGGGCAGGAATGAGGTTGTATGAGACTTCTGATAGATGGGTCTCATGTTTGGTGTCCACCTTCTTTCCTCGGCACCCTTGTAGAGCAATAAGAGTTGTTCTCAACATTGCAAATCTTATCCTTGTTCTCACGTGCCTTACTACATCGCTGTATCTCTCCTTCCTTTTTCTTGCTACTCTGTTGATGAATTGCTTACACTCTTTAGACATTCCTCCAGATGTGAGGAATACAGCCAGGGTTAAGGTAGCCTTCTCCAAGTACTCGAATCCTTCTTCTCATTCTCATTTCGTAAACTTCTTGAAGAGTCTTTGTCCTGTTTGATAAGCAATTGGGTGTGATACCCTAATGTCAAGACAAATTAGACAAAATCTCTATATTTCTATCACTGTCCCAAAACAAATATCAGGTTCTGCCCGGAATATCCAAGTAATGTAGGATGTAGATGAAGTACCAATAATAATTTTGACAAATATACTATTCACATGATGGAATAAAGTTGAAGGCGATGATCCCAACATGAGCTTCCTAAACAGCTTTTCCCTTGAAACCTCAAACAGTGATGAGGACACTCCAAAGTAGAGGGAAAAAGTTTTGTTCTTAAAGTCCATCACACAAGCATATCGCCTGTCAATAGATCTAGTCCTGAGAGAATATCAGGAATAGATCTATTTATCATCATTCTCACACAAGATCTAATAATCATCAAGTCTAGTACTATGTTTAAAGTACAATAACATGTAAATGTACTGAAGGGGTATCCTAAGAAGATTCTTGATCTTTTGGTAGGACTTGTGGCTGTTCTCATTTAACCCTCAATTACAGTTTTCTGAACATTCGGCTCAGTCAACCAAGGATACATTACACATATGTATGATCTAATGGATCTTTAGCTATCTCCCTAGACTAGGTGATACTGGGATTCGAACCCTGGACCTTCAGCACAGAAAGCGGAAACTCTAGCCACTCGGCCACCTAGCCCAAGTCAATTTAAATTAAGATTAAACAATTGACAATGCTGTCAAATAGTATCACAGTATTATAAAACTTAATAAACCCTTATTAAAGTATGTGCAAAAATTCAAGAAAACAACTATTTCAAGAAAGAAAGAAATTCTTTAAATTCTCACAGATAGTTCCACTAAATAGAAAGTGCGTTATTATTTAAAAATAAGGAGCTACAAGACCAAACTTTAAATACAATATTGAAACATGTCAGTTGAAAGTCAGTAAGTAATAGTTTCACTGGAAGTGTACTAAGTGTACTAAGTGTACTAAGTGTACTAGAATTATCATTATTAGAAGATGGTGCACCTTGGTTGTTTTACGTCGATTCTTATAAAGCATATTTTGATAGTGTTCCACAACATGAACTTCTTACAAAAACGAGAAATTTGAGAAGAAGTCTGAAGTGATAATCATAGCACATTATACATGATATTGCTAAAGATTTCTTATGATCTGGAGGAACAATTCAAACATAATTTGCTGGTAGAGCATAAAATTTTATTTAGTGTCACGTACGGCTCTGTATTCTATAACAAGTTTGACAGTTAACAAATCTGGGGACATAATTATAATATTAATATAATATATGAAAATCCAGAGTCCATAACAGTATATTATTATTATAACAGTATATTATTATTATTAATAGTATGTTAATGAAACCTTATCAATCACGTACAATATAAATATATGGTTCAAATTTTGGCAGCCAAGAACGTCTAGTACAATGAAATAGTTAAATTTTTGCCTGCACCCAGGCTATTATGTTCATCAACAATAACGATTCGGCGGTTAATGACAGACTGAGCGCCGCCCAGTATGTAACATTTATGCAAGGTCACCATAAAAATTACATCATCTTTTATAATTATTTTGTAAAAAGATGAAAATGGACTTAACACTTAAGCTCATTGAGTTATAATTATTTAAAGCTTATAAAGCGATAAAATAAATATTTGTTTAATAATTGCATCGACGCGCGCAGCTAAGCAAATTTTGCGAACACGCGCGTCTGCGGACTAAAAATGTTTAAAAAACAAAACATTGTTGTAACGCAATGCACTACTGGGCCATACCGCGCATCCAATAATGCTTCTTTTCGTTAGATCGGCAAAATGCACCACTGGGCCTCGCACGCCAAGCTGCAAAGGATTGATATTGTCAATTAAAAACATTGCAGAGACAAATACGATACAAATGTATTTTTAAAACTAATTTTATACAAATAAAAAAATTACTTTGAATGCACGCAAAAATTCCAAATTTTAAATTGTGAATATATTTTTGGATTTTTTGAAAAATTGTTGAATTTTAATTTAATTTTGTTGCTTGTATTTATAATATAATACAAATGATTCTTTCAAAATATTTGGTACAATTATTAAAGCTGAGCAGTACGTGAGCGCAAGCGTCGACGAGCCCAACTCAGCTCTGCGCGTTTTAACTATTAATTTACAATGTTTGTGTTGCTGTTGAAAAATTATTTTATGGGAAATTTGTTGATATGCAATTCAAACAAAATTAATTTTTTATTAAAAAAGACCAAGACGCGACGCGCGCCGAGTTCGACTCGTCAACGGTCCTATTCAAAACTTATATTTTACGAGTCACGAGTATTACCCGTTAAATTTTTGCCGGCATTGAATGTTTTTGTTTAAAAAATCCTACTGCACAGCCTGTCATTCCGCCGAATCTCTATTCGATTATGAACATAGCATAAATATAATAGCCTGAGGTCCCCATGTAAACAAAATTAAGTGTGTTTGATTACCATGAGATACTAAAAACCCTTTCATTTGTAGCATTCCGAAGTAGTACCATTTGGTGCTATTACGATTATTATAATTGTTATTTTATTTAAAAGGGGATGGGGCGCCAACAGGGGAGCGCATTTTCGGCGGGGGCGCCAACAGACAACGTTACGCCACTGAGTCCAGGACGACTATGAAGATAAATGGAGTAGGAACACTGCATTGGAGAATTCCGAGTTTATGTGTTACTTGTCACTCTTAAGTACATTATTGATGCAAATATTTAGTTTCCTGTCCTCCTTCTCCTGTTTCACTCTGTCTACCGCAATAAAGTGTTGAATTTGCTGGACTGCTCACTTTGTTTCTTAATTCCTCAATTACCTTCTTCTTGGGGTTTGCTGTTACCTCATAGTTTTCGAGGCTGGAGTAAAGAGGTACACTAGGAGTATGGCACCTGTCATTGAAGTACTTGATACCAGTAAATATTCTTTCTCTTTTATACCGAATTGTGATAATTTCAGAAACAGTTTCTCTTATAATAGAACAATGCTTCTGCGGAATGCATTGCCAGCTTGTGTCAGACTGACCGAAGAAATTGCCATTTTCATAGCAAAGCTAACTGAATTTCTGTATGGGAATATGTTTATTATCTATACTAATGCATTGTACAGTTATACCCTTATTTTCCGCAGAGTTTGGGAGTAAATCAGGGTTGTGCTGTAAATCAGGGTTTTGATTGTGTATGTCAATACCTATTTGGGGAAAGGAAATGGCTGCGGTAATTTGGGGCACTATAAATGTCCTATTTTTATTATTGTTATGGCTTGCACTCTACAGCTTCACCCACAGTCTTCTCTGTACTTCCTTTGAGCTTGTGAGTGTAAGCTGCTCCTCTTTTACAATAGCCCTCATTAGCTTCATTATCTAGAGTGTCAGTTGAAGTGTGGGTGCTACAAAACAGTATGGGCACTTTCAGTTGTTGAGGTGCTGAAGCATTTCGTTAGTCAAGCCTGTAAAGCCAATACAACTAAGATGCCACTATAGTTTACAGGCCTCACACTACACTGAAACAGTGACGTAACGAAAGGCCCTGCTGACCCCGCTGTGCAGGGGGACGCCGTCTTAGGGGGGCGCCAAATCGTCGTTTGAATGTGGGACAATTTCGAAAACTTAACTAAAGTACAGGGTGGGCCAAAAGTCAGTACCCATACGTTGGCCTTTATAGCTCAGTCACTGAGTGCCCAATTTAAATACTTCCTTCTGATATGACTTAGTACCACCACTGGTTCGAGGAATTTGTCAACTCGAAAAATATTCGCGTTCATTTTTTTCAAATGGAGGTTCATTTTCACATTTATTTGATAGTTTGGATAGTTGGATCAAGCTTAATGTTATTAAATTGTGTTTGGCCATTCGAATTACGTTTGTCCTGAAAGAATTAAAACTGTAGCTTCTCAGATGACCGAGATATGAAGCATAACGAGTTTATTCATTACGTGTGATCAGGTGATTGGATTACCTAATCACGTGATAAGGTGACCCCGTTAACCACCCCGTTAAACATTATGGGAATTGTTAAGAGTGCCCAATTAAGGTGTCGTGTCACGGTGTCACATAATCACCCAGTCAATTTTGTTAACGAGATACAGAAAATGCTTGATAACTTCGTCATTTCTAATCCGTTTTGCCTCATGTTTTCAGATCATATGTAACATTTGATAATCTACCGTCTCTGAAAAAATTAGGCGTTCAGCATGTTCAGAGAAAACAATATAGGTGTTTTAATATTGAATGGGCGTGGTCTAAAATATTCGAATTTTCAAATTTTGACGACGGAATCCTCGAACCAGTAAGTACAGTATGCAATCTGCAAAGCAACAGCTCTCAAATATAAAACACGGCGGAGCTATTAAGGCCAACGTATGGGTACTGACTTTTGGCCCACCCTGTACTAGCAAAACTGCGCGTTTTGCTCTAGATACACACTTTTTTAGAGATTTTTCCGGCGTATTCTTTAAAATCACCTAATTTGTTCAATTTTAGGGAGGGGCACCAAAAGGGGAGGGGGCACCAAAAGGGGAGGGGGCGCCAACAGGGGGGCGCTTTTTTTCGGCAGGGGGGCGCCAACAGGCAACGTTACGCCACTGCACTGAAAGGTAGTTTGATTTGTGCCACGCCCTTCTGGGTACATTCTCTGTCACCATCCCTCAAATTATTTGTTTTTTTTTTTTAATTTGAAAATTCAATTAATTATTATATATATAAATCAAGCGTTACATTTCAGCCATGCAAAATTACAATGACATATTTTGATATACTAATTGATAAATGGTGCTGCAATATAAGTTGCTTATTGTGTGGCCGGATGACAACTAACTAGAAAAGTTGGGGCCGTCTACCAAATTTGAATCAAAAACAATAGCAAGAAATCAAACATATATCATAAATAATTATAAGTATTTTGCTCATTATATAGTAGGTTGAAAGAATCAATGCTGTTGACAGGATGGATCACATGATTGTTGCAACATTTTCGGGGTGCATGTGGGTCCAGGGGTGTTAAAGAATTTATAATTTAAATTATAAAGATATTTTTGATGATTTCATGTTTTGATTTATTTTGATTTTATAATTTTATAAATGGCTCGCTTCTCCTGGCTAGATGCTCGTCAATATACTTCCCATAATTATTGACCACAGTATCATTCCATATAAAATAAAGTGCATTAAAATATACATGAATTAAAATATACAAATATAATACAGGGTGGCCCATAAGTGACTACCCACACGCAACCTCTGAATAACTCACGTAATTCGTCTCCAAATTGCACCAAAATTTCAGAGATTATAGATATGGGTCAAACTTAGATTTCCTGAAAGTTTCGTAAGCCACGCCCATTTACAGTGGGCGTGGCGTGACACTCCCTTTTTTTCACTATTGTCTTCATAAAATGAGAACGCTTTAAGCTAAGAACTCAAAATTTTTAACACACATTTGGCTTGATAATTGAAAACTTTTCCAAAAGTTTCAAGTTCATTGGTTAAAATATGGCTGAGTTATGACCATTTTAAAATCCATCGGATATGTGATCCGAGCACTCAGTCATATTTGCACTCAATTAGTGATCTCGTCACCCAATCTGATCAAGAGTAAGGCGTTAGCGTGTATTAATGAGGTTCATTAGGCTTTGATTGGATACCGATGATGACTTTGCTAGAAAGGAAAACACAAATTTTTAGGATAAATCAATAAATGAAATCAACTAATAAAAATTTCCACACAAAAACAATTCAATAATTTCAATTAAGATGTTCAAATTGTCGTCCCCCAGCTGCAATCACCTTGAGGCACCGCTTCTTCACACTCCGACAAGCGTTCGTAGCAAACGCTGGGTCCATATTATGGATGATGTCGATCAGGTGGTGCTTTAGCTGCGTGATGTTTGCAATAGGATATCTCTTATAGAGTTGGTCCTTCACCCACCCCCACAGGAAGAAGTCACACGGTGTAAGGTCAGGACTTCTAGCCGGCCAGTGTGTTCCAAGATGTTGTCCGATGGTTCTGTGGGCGAACTTGTTAGCGAGGAAATTCTGAACTGGTCGAACGATGTGAGGTCGAGCTCCATCCTGCATGAACCACCAGTCCGTGGTGAGGTAGGGGTTGTTGAAGGAGAACTGCGACAGATCAGGATAAAACTTGTTCTCCAGCAGATCCATATAGCGAACTCCGTTGACTGTCACTCTACTTCCGTTTTCTTCGTAAAAGTAAGGTCCTAGGATTCCACGAGAACTGATGGCGCACCAGATCGTGACCTTTTCAGGAAAAGCAGGCTGCAACCAATCAAGCGGTGCATGTGAGCCAAACAGGCCATTAACCAAGTGACGAGATCACTGACTGAGTGCTCGGATCACGTATCCGATGAGTTTTGAAATGGTCATAACTCAGCCATATTTTAACCAATGAACTTGAAACTTTGGGAAAGGTTTTCAATTATCAAGCCAAATGTGTGCAAAAAATTTTGAGTTCTTAGCTTAAAGCGTTCTTATTTTATGAAGACAATAGTGAAAAAGAGGGAGTGTCACGCCACGCCCACTGTAATTGGGCGTGGCTTACGAAACTTTCAGGAAATCTAAGTTTGACCCATATCTATAATCTCTGAAATTTTGGTGCAATTTGGAGACGAATTACGTGAGTTATTAAGAGGTTGCGTGTGGGTAGTCACTTATGGGCCACCCTGTACATAAATATATACAATAAAATGTACCATATCAATCACACCACTTTACATATTTGTGAAGCTAAGGTTCTTAGTTCATGAACATTTTCATTTGTCAAGCATATAACCAACATCTCCTGTCCCCTGACTGATAGTCCAGTTTCAGATAGAGATTGCCCATTATGTACTTCTTACCATTCCAAGATAACATTCCCCAAACTGAGTCAATATTGGAAGAAGTATTCTTGTTTGTATCTTCAAAAGTTTTCAAGTTGGTCAATGATTTCCAATGGTTGCCAGCTCCAGTTTAAAAAAGAAAAAGGGAGCCCTCACTCAGTACCAACGGCGCATGAAATCATACCGGTCAAGATAAAATGTCTCATAAGGTGCTGAGTGGGGGCTCCCCTCAGAGTACTACATTGGCTGTTATCTGACACTGTACTCTATGTATCAGTAAATAATAATTTAATTTCAGTCAGGTCATACACATAACTTTATACATTATTAAAATAATTTTAAAACTGTCCCGTCGGTCGTCTATCCCAGGAATGAGATCGAAGGCAACTGAAGTCTTCAGTCTCCTGCATACACAAAAAAGAATGTCAAAAGCATACTTGATTAGCATCATGTTGCTGCATCAGGATAGACCACAGATATCGATTGTACAGATTTTTCCACACACTGTGCTATTTTTAACATTTCCAATTGAGATGGTGTTGTAGATCATAGCGCTTCATGGGAGAATTTTGTCAACTTCTCTTTGTACACTATGCACATTTACCACAGCTGGTTTGAACAATAGCGGTGAATATGCCCCCAGCCTTGGCACTTGTTGCACTCTTTGACCCTCGACCTTATTTTTTACTGTTCCAAAATGTAACGTTGATGGCAAAACTTTATCTTATCAGTGACCACTTTCATGATTGCTTCTCTGAACTCTTAAATCAAACTCAAAATCAGAATGATAGATATCACCAACATGCAGTTCGAAGACACTACTGAATTGATAGAAGTAATAACATCGATCAGCCGGAATGTTTTACCCATCATTCTTGCAACAAAATAGTATCTTTTATGAAGCTTGTATCTTTTATAGCCGTTCACAAAATACCACAAAGTAAGATTGGTTATGTAGGGTCCAGGGTCAACCCCATCAGGTACAGCAATAATTTGACAAAATATGAGGTCTCCAAATTTAAAATAGCAGTTATCTATCAGTTATCTACAACCTCGATCAAAGCATCCTTACTAAAATAGAAAGTAACTTACTTTTGGGTTTATTCGCCCACGTGAATGACTTGTCAGACATAGAAATGTATTTACACTTATATATTAGCACTTATACAATATAACACTTATGTGCACTTATATCACTTACATTACATATTTTAAATTATTATATAAAATCATAAGTTTGTACTGTTTGGAGCTCTAAGGACCACTCTGTCTCGTAGGTTCGAGAATAGTAAGAGTATCCTGTTCATTCATTATTATATCATTTTCCTATAATTGTATACAGTATACCAGACAAATGAGATGTACTCTCAATTTATTTTTGTCCACTAATGACCGCCAATGTCCCATTATCCCATAAAGTTATTTGTTATATAGTAGCGTTGAAAGTATTAATATAAGTATTAATAGTATTAATATAAAACTTATATGTTTGCTAATGATTGAAGTAGTCAGGAAGTGTTGTGGAATAAAAGGAGTAGGACACTGGAGCCTGACTGTGGACCTTCAATGTCCTGCACACTGTTGCATAATTATACCAATCTCTTGATATATCTCCGAACTGTTCCATTTCTTGATACTTCTAGTTTTCTAGAATCGTATTGACGTGTGATGATATGATTTTTAAAAATTCTTCAGACTATCAAGAGCTCATCACAATAGCCAGCATTTTGTTTAAACAGGTAACTTGCTTAAAATAAGATAAAGAGAAAGCCGAGTGTGTGATAACATGCATGGTACTGTGTTAATGCTTGTTGTTGTTAATAGTGAATAGTATGCATACAGCAACCAATCATGTCACATTTACAAGGTCACAATTCCTCTCAATTCATCTTAAACTCGAGTTAATACTCACCTCGATCAATGATCATTTTAATAAGTCAACCTTGTAACTTCTTTTAAATGTACATAGCGACTCTCTGCGACGTCTCTTTAATAAGATATGCTCGACATACGAGATTTTAGATATTCATTTTGTCATTTTTTGTTGTTGATGACATTGGGTATTTGGGATGTCGTGGGCCATTGAAAACAGAAGTCTGAGCTGCAGCTTTAGCGGCCGCAGCCTGAGACGGAACCGCAGTCTGAGCCGCAGTTTAAATGGAAATTTCAAGTAGGTTTCTCAGCTAATTCTTACCATTTTACTGTTTAATACCAACTCAGTGTTCATCTTTTTATTCTATCCAGTGAATGACTTTATAGAAGAGATGGTATCTTCGGTTGATTCTACTTGTCAAACAGACTCTTGTGTCACCGCAACCCGGTAAGGATCTTGTTGTTACAGCTATTACCTTACATTATAACAACAAGAAAGTGAGAGGATAATATATTATTCTGCCTTCCCCTCGGTCAATTTTAGAAACAATTACGAGTTACCTTTTCCTGTTCGAATTTTTTTTGATAATTTCAAGTTCCGACAAAATTAAATTAAAGCTTGTAATACATTTTGTCAGCAAATATCGAGGAAATCATTTTACACCCACATCAATCAAACGTTACCTTTTTGACAACTGATGCATATTAGTCGGTTGAACCTTGCATACTGGTTCGGGACGAGACTATTAAATTTTCTCTATATTTAGCTTCAAGGTACATTATGCATATAATAGAGAATATAAGTGAGAATTAATTAAATTAAGAGACTAAGTTCATTAAATGACACAAAATCTTAAATCAGCGACTGGTCCATAGGGGGATGACTACATTTAAGTTAGTAGAAACTAGAAATTTTCGGGAAACGATTTAAGTTTCGAGACATAAGGAGGTACAAATTTTCCGGAAAATATCAAATTGTTTAGGAGCTGTGTATCTAAATAATATTACAGCATATTGAACCAACTTATAACCATAATGTAAGCTAATAACGAATCTGGGGGATCACGCATAATATGCTGAATACTCGCTTTAAAATCTATAAATTAGATCATAAAATTCTAAAATTATTCTTCATGACATGTTCACTGTTCAAGACTAAATTTCTTATCGAAGTTAAGCGTATAAATTATTCAGATAAATTTCACGGTTTCTAAAGTCGTGCACAATTAGTGCGAAATAGTTTGATTGTGGTCACGTCTCTCAATTCGCCCTTTTTATAGCAAGTCGTTAGTAACAAAACAAGTGATGAACAGCCAGGACTCCCCTTTGGTTACATGCACTATCTAAAATTCACCCCTAATTACGATCTGCAATAATAATAATCATCTCTAATCAATAGTTAGAGATGATGTTAGAATACTCATTATTGTAACTTAAATGAATAATCCAACATCATTAAGGGTCATTAGTTGGTATCAGAGTATCACAATTATATTTATATGCGAAAATTATAGCTGCATAATGCATTGTAATCATATCATTTTATGTAGTAAACTAGAAAACCCGTGGTCACAGGGAGGGTAATACTAATAGTATTCTTTGGTAGTCAGTTTTTATAGCATCAAAAAATATCCGTCACAACCAAAGATACAGCCCATTAAAATGTAGCTCGCACTGAACACAACGTAATTACCACAAAACCGATCAAAATAAAGTTAAAACAATCATTGCACGTGCACGTGCGTGTAACAACCCTCGTTACCATGGTTACTATGCAAATTCCTATTTCTCGTCTAATTTGCACGTGGGCGGTCGTACATACATACAGTCTACAGAAATAATTCTCTGAATTATAAGTAAGGTATGCTCAGCGAAACTCATTCAATTTCAATAAGACAAATAAATTGATGTGCTCACACTTTTTTATTAACTGACAAGTAAATTGTTTAGTTGGTTTCAAAACAAATAGAAGCTTGGGAGTTTAAAATGATAACTGGATACTATCAAGTATCAAGTCGTATTTTTACCTTCTAACAACGTTTTCCAGCACAGAAAATTCATTTCATGATGTATGTCATGTCCTGTGGCTGTTTCATTACAATTTGAATGTTATCAGCTGATATTAGATTTATGATGATTGCATTGTTGATGATCAATATCCTTGTATATCCCTGAATACAACCACCATTTCTGAAAATAGGTAACTTGTTAACGGTTGTTTAATGTTCATATTATCATGAATTGTGGTCTTCTTGCTACAAGCCACCTATAATGAGATGCAGATTCCACTCTTGGCCTCATTCAATTGGAAAAGTGCACAGTTTGTCTCAAGTAACTGAGTCAAGGTAGCTGCCTTTCTTATCACAAGTTAGCTCCAAACATTTTAATTGTTGACCTGCTAGAAATCTCGTAGTCTCCCCGCGTAGATCATTCTAGAATCTTGGCTTCTGCATTCCGGTATCCAACGAAACCATAAAACCTAACCATTGTGCTAACAAATATTTATTTTTATTAGAATAAGAGGTGTACGAAATTTTATCCTCTGAAATTTCATCCCACGACGTTTCTAGTGACATTAAACCCACGCCAACCCAAAACGCTAATTCTATCCCGAGACCTTGCAAGCCACAAGGGAGTATAATGTCAAGAACGAATAATTACCCGGTACCCTTCTTGCTACTTACAGATGAGAAACTTAAATTACTGACATCACCAAGTGGGAAGTGATTCACTGTTAGTTCAATTTAAGTTTAACACCACACCTCCAGTCGCAAGCCTGAGACCACTTACAGGGATTCGCTGAGACTTTTAGCACGAATTGTTTAAGTCCTCAGTACTAGAACCTGATTTAAATGATTAGCAGGTATTTCTGCTCTGCAAATAATATGTCGAGTACAGCGCACGATACGATATAATATCATGTATCCAAATGTGTGCGTACACTCGCATCATAACCATTGAATATGTACAATGTGCTGTATCATACTGAAGTCACTTTATCGTTAGAACATAATCTCAGAATAGCTAAAGTAAGATGCTCGGTGTCATATAGCCAATGTTATAGCCATATATAGCCAATGTTGTCTCTCAGATCATTTGTTGTAGACTTGTAGTATTTCGATAAAATCTGTGTATCAAAATTTTATAGATCTAGGTTTGTCAGAACTGATCGGACGGCGATTCGATTAAATATATGACAGATTTTGTCTGCATCATGTGCGCTTCTGAATAATCATTTTATCCTACTTCCTACTGAAATCTAGCTGTATTCAAATTCTGGAATAATCCACGAAGCGGCCGACACAGCTCCATGGATTCCATCGAAAAATATGAACAATATCATTAGATTCTTAATTAAGTTTCAGAAGACCGCCCTTCCTCCTAGCATTTCGTAAGCGATATCCAAGACCAAATAGGGTTCTTCAAGCGCTGTAGCTAAATTACATCTTTCAGTATAAAAATATCCTGCTATAATTCATGGTCAATTATGAGGCAATTCCACAATATAGAACTGGTCATGAACTTCTCGAAATCTGGTACTTTCTTTGGTTATCGATTTGGTTAACATTCGATACACGACTATTTTACTTCCAGAAGTTCAGACGTTGGTGAAAATTAAATTATTAGTCCTGATGCTCGTTTAACATAAGCCTAAAGAGCTGACGAAGTTTGAGATTGATGATATAACCATGGCCATGGGAACTTCATAAAATTATTTCTAAAATTAGTCATGGCCTTAAAATATCGATGTAAAGTAAAACCCCGATTTACCGCTCCCCGATATACCGCATACCACGATTTACCGCAGCAGTTTCCTTTTCCCAAACTTCAGGGTTTCACTGTTTATAGAAATATAGATGCACCTCGGCCTCGCACTAACATGTACTCTGTAATCTGTATATTATATGAAGCCACTTTAGAGCAACACTTACAGCCACACTTAAAGCCTACATTGAGTAGATGGAGCTTAAGTTTTATATTTTTAAATCAAAATTCATACATTAGGCGATCTTGTGATATTTAGCTCTTTTACCCGAGAGAATTGTAACAGTAATTCATACACATCAGTTCAAGCTGGAGAAGTCGTTACAACTCAAGTGAATGTTCAGAAGCCCTCACGCCGAGATCCATCAAGAGCTTCAAATACCCTCAGGTAAGGAATGTTCTAGAACTTGTTTACACATGAATTATATTAGTGCAACATACAGCTGAAAACATATTAGTCTGGTCTTTCATGCACATTGACCTGCATTTCATAGTAGAGGGCTGAACATTTCTAAGAGCCTCTCCAAGGTCTATAGATTCGGAAGAAATTCCGAACCCAAAAATTCAGATTGGGTAAATCGCTCTTTTGGTCACGCCCATCTGTGTTATATCATTATATAGTTATCTCAGCTTATGAACATCGTAGAAACTTTTATATAGGCTCAAATTAACTGCAATGGCTATTTTTATATACAACTTATAACAACTTATAAAGCAAAAGAAGTTGTACGATGTTCAGAAGCTGAGACAACTATGTAATAATATAACACAAATTTGTTTACAGTTTGTTATAGTTATTTGTTATATGTTTTGTTTTTATAGTTTGTTACAGTTACACAATATTATAACTTCAAACTGTGCGGATTTAGCGTCACTTAAATGTGCCAATTCTAGTTGAATAGCAAATTCATGTACCACGAAGTGGTTTAAAATTAAGTTGCAATGTGTAAGACATGGCCCTATTCGTTGAGTTGGACGAGAAGCACAATATTGGCAAGGGCTCGTGTGGTAATAATAGCAAGGATCATATGGCTTATAAATGAGTATTTGATAAAATGTTAAAATATATTAAACCCGGAAAACTTTCAAGGCGCGAAGTTTCAGTATCTTCAAATATTCATTGGATATGGTATGTTGATCGTGAAAAATAATTGACAAGTGATTGCGATGACAAAATTTGTCGATGTTTGTTTCCTCATTGGGATGATTCACGGATAATAACTCAGAAAATTACGTTCAACAGTAACTGAGTAACTGATCATTCAACTTGCCAAATAAATTAACACTAAGTGTTGGCTGATCACTTTAAATGATTATGTAGAAACTGACCTGCCGACCAAGTATACCTCTCAGGAGTTGTCCGACCAGTTGAGAGCAGTGAGACGCACCGTCTTCATACTGACCACACCCCACAAGCCCTGCTATGTAGAGAACCTGGTTCTGCCCCACATTAAACTCCTGGTAGCTGGCAATCTGGATCTGGCTCTGCACCTCAACACACAGGACAGGTAATAATCACATTTAGTGTACGGGGAAATGTAGAAAAGGGCGATTGGATTAATTTGTGCTCTTCTGTATTTTCAAGGTCAATTTTTCGTAATGATTTCAGAAGAACCTGCACGTTGACTATCGTGTAAATTTATGTGAATCAGTATTTACTTTTTCCCGTTTAAAGCCTTAATTTGTTGTGCACCGCTCATTACCGAAATAATTTAAAATATTCTTGCTGTACTGCTAGTTTACCATAAATTAAAGCTGGGAGGCTCCGTACAGACCAAGCTACGGTTGAATCGTACTCGAAACCCAGATTTAGGTTCGTAATATGATGGGAATGACATAATGAATGTTCCTCTGCCTCGCTACTTAAATAAAGAGTAGCTTACTCAATAAAATCTGAATTGAAGAAAGAAGAACTTCTTAAAATTTACATTTTCGTGTCGGTTATCTTGCTCCTTATAATGCACCGTGAAATCACAATGAACAACTCGTTCTCCAGAAATCTACTCTAGATGGTGCTTTATTGCCTCATGCCTGGCCCTCAAATTTACAGTTTGATAACAGGAAATTAGAGACATACGTACAATAACACAACCAAACTAAATGTTTATCAAGTTGATATCACTGAAATTAGGTCTTGGTTACTATACTAGTAGTAATGACGGGATATTTATTATTTAGCTATTCTTCTCCCTATCACATTCCAAAGTTCATTAGTATATTCACCGAGTATTTTACTTCTGTTTTAAGTATTGTAATTTTGATAATCGGAATCGAGAACTTTTATTATTACCCTAGTGACATGTCTTTCTGATAAAATTGTAGGTTAACTGTTAAGTAGGTATCTGCCAGGAGTCTCGACAAGTTGGATAAATGGAATTCGTAACTTTACGATATTGTATAGAGTGAATATAATATATAATACAACATTCTTTGCACTCATTTGATTATGGCCAGAATAATTACCGAATTACACGCATAGTCTTATGATTTTGAATTACAATCATTTTCCTAATTAAAGGGGATTAAAATGTTTACCTAACCATAAAGATAATATGGTCCGGTTAAAAGTTGTTAATTGAGCAATTGCATAATTGATTAATGGGATTGGGTACAGATTATAGCTCATAGACCACTGGCTTAGATAAAAATAGGATATGATCGTTATGAAACTTATCTAATTTCAGCCAAATTATTCATGAAAATCTAACTTTTTTAAATAGGTCCCCGGAGTTCGCATCCTTCCCATTGTACAACATCTTTAGAAACTTATCTGCTTATCAGTATATTCAGGTTCAGTTTAGCATTTAGGCACGTAATTTATATTGAAGATAAGGCCACATTTTTACTGGACAAGTGACTGTACTTACAGCACCAGTACTTACTGTACCAGTACTGACCTAACTGAATGAGTGACTGGATCAAGTTACTTATTGATATTTCACACACAATGACGTTCACATGATAGGAAACTCCCAAGAGGAATGCACATGATGAACACTTTTCAGGGACGTGACCAAGATAAGCTCCGTCTTTGACTTTATCCGTGTTATTGTTAAACACCGACAAATTTAAAATATGTTAGAATTTCGAAATCTTCACCACCCATGATGGAGTATAAATTAATTCGACTATCTTATGTTTACATTTTTAATTTCATTATTCAAGTCAAGACTCAAGCGGCAAGCCTCACATTTGGCCTTTCATAATCAAATTTTTAAGAAGATACATATTATTATTTTGAAATCTGACAAATTTGTTCAGGAAAAGGTTTTGTAGTAGAATTGCTGTATTTTTGTGTCGGAGTATCAGTAAGTCAACAACGTAAATTTAATAACAGCTGTGAACGACCTGGAGCAATTTGCCTTACATAAATATGCTACATAAACTAAACGAATTATGATTTTATGCTTTATCGTTAAGGAAACCCAATTGAAAATTTACCGACACATTAGAATATTTATTGTAACTTTGTGGTAGTTTTTAAACTAAAATTTAGATATTATGTCGGATTATTACTATAAAGAGTGCCACGCCGTCTGGAGATTTAAATAGTCCCATATTCGAGAAGTCCGAGAATATTCTAGTTTACTCACCCTCGTACTAGAAAAATCTTTAGTTCAATTACATTAAAGGTTAGTTACTTAAAGTCTAGACTGGCACAAAACCCGTCTAATATGCTGATTTCCGGATGATTGTTTATAAGCTTATTTGTGGAGTCATGAATAATGTGTGTCGTGGGGCCTCTCTGTTCAAAAGAGAGGTAAAGTAAGCGCCCCACGCACACACATTATTTATAAGTCTCATTTACAATATTGAATTTTCAAAATTTCTGAGGAACTATGTTTGGGAAGGGTAATAGTCACCGTTTCAATATAACTAACTACATGTAACTGCATTATATTCTCATTCTTTAGCCTAGAATCATCAGTGCAGTCTAAACCGAACTATGATGGCAAATCAGAAATTTGCCAGGCAAATGATATTCTTTCTTTTTTTCAGTCACAACAACGTCTTCTGTTGAATGCAGTGTGCGTATTCCAAATTATGACCATCTGCTGCCACGATGCATTATTCGTAGTACGGGAATAACTCTCGCACCATATCAAGTTTAAATCGTATTTAAAGTCATTACTTGAAGAGATAAGTCTGGTGGATTCTACCAATGTTAGGGGGTATTACATGGCTAATGCTACAATTAAGTTTGCAAAGAATCGCTTGCACCAAATTACCACCCTCAACTTGAAACGGACGGTTATCTGAACAAAGTTTCCTTTTTCCATTTTCCTGATTTCAGGGAAAGTTTATGAGTTAGGTTTTTAACATATTTATCGGGACCATTAGTGCTAGGGATTGAACAAGGAAGGATATTATCTACCCATATATTTCAAGCAGATAACCTTCTAGAGATTTGAGCAGTCTTAATTATTTCGAATTATTTATTAGATGCGAAACGTTATCAGAAGAGAATACAAGGTATAATTTATGACGGTACCAGAATGAGGTGTCAACATATGCGATGATGTCTTGCAGAGCTAAGAGAATTATTATACACATTTTTGTGATATCAAATTTTGTCTGGACATTGGTCAAAAATCACTTGAAATCTCATCTTATAGAAGATCTTGAACGATATAAATCTGAAACAGTGTAGCTTTCCACTATTTTCATGAATTTGGTCATTCGAGTTAATGCCACCAAGCGCTAGTATTTCTAACCCTGCTCAAAGCTAATGTTTTTTGTTGAAGTAAAAGAAATGCAATCTAGAAAGATTTATTAGGCTATCTCCCTCCCTAGTTAAAGAGACGGGTAAAGAATCTTCTATTGTGCCAACTACCACCATAATTGCAGCTAGTCTTATACAAACTTACTACTGGCTATTTAATGTGCGTAACTATTCAACGACAATTATTCTTTCACAGAAATTGCGGGAGCTGGTTGGTTAGTACATACATAATAATACATATTAATATATATGATATGAATACATAATGATACATAATAGTAAAGGAGCTGCTATAATACTGGGTAGTAAATTTAAGAAATTTCAGTACTGATGAGAACTTTAATCTGTTTGGTAAATGTACAAACTGCGCTTTTGTTTAACACGTGTACGAATGCTTACTATTCTCTTTTTCTTGAGACTGTGGCACCCAGCATGCCTTACTTCCTTAAAATTGTATTATGTGAGAGTGTATGCATTCATTGTATGGCCTCCATGTTTTACTTTGGTGATTTCATATACACCTTGCAAGTTTCTTATTATTAAATGTACTAATAATAACTTAAGTTATATGATATCGAAGAAGAATTTAGGTTTTCATTTTAAAAAGCAGATTATCGGTTGAAGATGCTAGTACTATATTATAGGTTTAATGACTACCGCGGTGCAGATTCTGATAAATGATTCAAAGACCAAGATCTCCCTTAGTATTATACCATGTATGCACTAAACTATACACACTATACCACTAACTCGTACACCTTAACACCACCTGTACCTAACCACAGTGCATATAATATAGTGCAATTTAACACATTAGGACGGCCATGATAGACGGTAATTGTTTCAATATGGTATATTTTCTGGAACCGTCACATCACCTTCAAACCGGACACCCTAACCTCGCAATGTAAGGCTGCGTGTTCGACCTCAGATATTCACACTTGTGTATTCCAACAGGGGGAAGTCAGACAATACACCGATAGAGCGGCTGATCGGTTCCATGCTGTGTCTCGATAGCCCTGAAGCGGAGCTTTACACCTCAACACTAATGTCCAGCGATCTGTCAGTAACAGATGTTTACGATACTTTATTCAGGTGTGATGTAGTGCTCTTGTTGTGTTACCGTTCCCGGTCGCCTATTACGGATTGTTGTGTTGAAATTGCGTGGAGTAGAGATTAGAGAACATGTACTAAACGCTAATTTTGCGCAAGGCGCGGCGCCGAACCATATTTTAGTGAACAAACGCTTTAATCGAAAACGTCAATTTTAGTTGCTATGGACGCGCGCAGCGAAATCCTGCAAGTGATCTCATTAAACGGACACTGTTTTGATGATCATTTTCCTCTGTTTACTCAGTTCTTGGCAAGCACGTGGCAATAAAGCATTCAAAACTTTAATCTTTCCGTTTAGTGCCAGATGACAAGAATGCTTTTTAAAGAATTGTATAGCCCGTGCACATCGATACTATGATTGAGTTTTGATATGAACGATTATTAGATTTATTACTGGTATCAACTTTACAGATGGATGGGAGAGACCAAAGTCCTAATAGAAACAGTTCATCTTAGAGGTGTAAATGACATTCAGAAACTCGAGCAGTTACATTCTAACTTCCAGGACGCACGATTCATCTGGGAAACATCAGGTTACCTTTGCGGTGTTAATAAAATCGGTCTGTCTTTAAAAACAGACTGGTAACACCAGACTTAGAATGTTGTATTTTATCCAGGAAAAAGATTGTGCGCTAAGAAATGTTTCACCTTTGACATTTGTAACTATTGGAAATATGTTCTGTCTGAAAATTAGTGAGTTTTCGATAAATTGGCTTGAAACGTTCACAGGAGCTAGACAAACTATTGAGCTCTGCTGGTGTAAATGGAACATGTAATTCCATATTATTATAGTTATGCCATTTTTATCAGACATTCATTTCAGACCCACGATGCTGTAATACAGAAGAAGAGTTGTCAGAATGGTATTCCAGCAACAGCACAATCCAAAAGTTCTTATCAGCTAAATTTAAACACACTTGGGTCCATGTGAAACAGGATGACGTCATCAATAACAACAAAAATATTGCAGAATCAGTTACAGAATGTATTGGCGTATTTGTAAGGTAAGATTTATCTTAGTCTATAATGATCATACTGAAATCTATATTTTTATGCAACGAAATTTGCTCCCGTATGGGCGAATAATTTGCCTTGATTTCATTGAATATTTTCAGCCGACACTACGACAAAATGCTAAAATCGCTGTCAAAGTTTGTTTCTAAAAATCCTCAACCTCAAATTAACCCGGACACTCAAATAACAGACGAGAGGATCGTCAAACTTTCTACAGATTTGGGCTACTACTTAACAGATGATATTGTGATTGAGGACTCGTAATAACTTTTATATTTGAGGGGATGGACCACAAACCAGATTTGTCATTTGTCGATGTGAACATTGTTTTGTACAACCTGGAGATTTTAACACATTGCTTATTATTTACTCGCCGGTATTTTCAATATCACTGGCAGAAAATTTCAGAAATTTTAATGCATGTTTTGTAGCTAATTTGATCATTATATTGGAATCTATTGTATATTTAAATTATTTCATGGTATGATTGTTCTTCAATGTCAACTTAATGCAAAAAATCAAACAAATTCGTCATTGATAACAATCTAGTTAAACATGAACATTATTTTATGAAGATAAATTAGTGTTTATAAATTAGTCACCCTTTACTAATATCATCGCTGATATAATTTTCGGGAAAGCGGTCAACGCAAAATATCAAGACAATGTCTACAAATAAATTCCCAGTCCAATCGTATGTATAAATCACATGATATATAATATAGGTCACATAAACATGTAATAGATATTAGATAAAGATCATTTCTTGAAAATATGAATCATTAAATTATCGAGTAAATCAAAACAAAAAACTACCTGCTACTCTATGATGGAGACATTTAAAACTGGGTAAAAAATGATATCAGCCCTCATGCTTTAACGCATGGAATTAGTGTACCTTACGCCAAACATTTCCTTGATATGTCACAAGAGGGCCACGTTAAGGTATTGTTGTTTAAAGCACACACTTCCACGTGGCTAGCACATCTCCTCTTGTTTGGCACGCTTGGAGGCCTGGTCTGCTGGAAGGACGGGAGCAATGTCCGAGAGCAGGGAGGAGGTGGAGTATCTTCCAAACAGGGTGAGTAGCAGGGCAGGACCCCAACCTGTAGCTCGCTCTCCCTGTACGGAGTTCACGGTCAGAAATATACAGAAAACAACGCAACTATAGATTAAATCAGTTTCTGTTAGTTCTATGCATGAAGAACTAATAATAGTAAGTAGTACCCAGTAATACAAGTACGGAGAGCACCTCAGATAATCAAAGAAATTTCAGATTCAACACTATACTTACAATGTGAACAGGGTAAGCCATGTCAACGTGGATCCACACGATGGGAGAGGGTTTGAAGTAGTCATCAAACAGATGAGCTCCAATGAAGAGTCCAGCACATGAGCACTGAGCGTTCGAGCGGTTCTGAGAGAGGTCGGTGTTAGTTTTGTCACAGGAGATATTATGGGGGTCATTTCCCCAGTTGTGAAAGATGGGTCAGATTATACCACAAATTATAGGTGGTGGCGAGATTTTGGTAAATCTAAAAATAGTATTAACCATCACATTGACAGAGTGTAGATTGTTGAATATCCTGTTTTAGCAATATTCAAATACTTTTACTCACAGCGACAGAGTTCTTCATGTCAGCGACAGAGGATTTGAACTCGCTGAAGTGGACCTCAGGAGCGTAGACAATGGGGAATACCATGTCCCCGCTGGAGAGACCAGCTTTGACAGCACACGACTCCCATTTCTCGTTGTTTGTCAAGACGGCAGCGTGGTGTTGTCCGGTTGTTATCCTGAAATATTGTGCTTTTTTAACGGAAAACTTTATGTAATTAGGGAAGCGAACGACTTAAAAGTTTCATAAATATGAAATCTTTTTGATCTGTGAACACATGCACAATGCACATTGTGTTGAAAATGTTCTAAATACTATGATGGTATTATACTGATGAAACACAAATTTTATACGCTGACAATTAATAGATTGAGATAAGAAAAACACAGTTCTGAACAAAAAATCAAACAAATTCCAGAAACAATTTTTAAATGAAGAGTCTCTAAACTTCTCTAGCAACTACACGATAATCTGCGGCGATGGCTTGCTTATAACTAGAGTAATAGAACAATCTAGCTGTATTGATCACACCAGAGTTAACAAGTGCCACCCAGTCCGGGTAGATACCACAGGACTGGAAATTAGCAGGAGCAGTGCCGTTAACCCTGGCTACACTTGGAGAAGTAAGATCCCAGGACACTGTCTCAGCTAGCTCTCCTCCTAGCACTTCCTCATCTTTACAAGATCCCACCCCCTCAACACTCAGTCGTAACCAGGCACTCTCGATCTTATAGTTTGTGTAGGAGTAGTACACTTGCATGTAGCCCAGATACTTTTTATCCGAGTACAGGTAGTTCCGAATGTGGAAATAGTTTGCAAAGTATCGGACCGGATCCCTGAACCGGTTTTCCAAAACAGTCGTAGACGGGTTAAATTCGATTGCTGAAGTAGTGGACCACCATTTTAATTCAGTCCAATCGGAGGTTGTTCCACCATTCATGAACAAACACAAGGTCACGAAACAAAGAGCTTTGCGAAACATCTTTTGGTCGCGAATTGTAAACGTCAAAATGAGTAAATGATATAAAAGACAAAGTTGTGACCGAAACTTCTGAAGAAAATAAAACTCACGGTCAATTCAGATTCACATAGAAGTGCTAACTTAATTTAGCTGCCTTTAACCTTATCTTAACGTGAGCTTAAAGGTATTATGCCACTGTGCCATATGGTAGATAATAAGCTTCGGAAGGATCTTAAGACATGGCAGTTTGTCATTTTATGCTATGATATTCCAGAAGTTAGTTTATAACCCCAATTACAGTTCATCCACTCTCATGTGCTGTACACAGAGGAACTCACATCTAATAGATATACAGATATACAATGAATTGATAACGATAAACTTTCTGGCAAATAGGTACAATGTCGACCGGCTGTTAGAGGGCTATACTTAGACTATCGTACTTATTGCCGACCTTCTTGTATTAACTGATGAGGACAGCTGAGGAAGATAATTCTATTGTTATACAAAGTTTGTGTATTTGGTATTTATTCCTCCCCTCCCTGCTCTCTGAAAATAACTCTCGACATACTCCTCAGTGGACAGTGCTGTTTGTTTTTATTCGAGACAGTATACGGTGTTAAGGGGATTGTAGGGCTATGGCTTAAGTAAATTCATTTTTAATGCTATTGTTTTTTGAAATGTTATTTTTACTGGTATGTAGATCAGGTTAACAAAATATGGTGATCTTCGTTACACAAAACCCAAAAGTTCAGTATTGCGATGATTTTGTTGTTAATTTAATCGAGGAACCTACTATGCACTATACAGTTTATTATTATATCATAGTCAAGTCACACAGAAGACTGGAGATCATCAACTCCAAATATTACCACTCGTGATGCCATTATACAGGGTGGCCTATAAAACACTACCCATCCTTATCTCTTAAAATTGTTACAGGTCGCTGAGATCTTGCAAATTATTTTATTTCAGAATGGAAAAGCGCCATAACTTACGTTCTGATTAATATTTTTGCTTCAAATTTTTAGAGAATGTCAATCATAATTAGACACAACTTCGTGCCAAGTTTTGTGTGAGTCTGAGCTTGTCTGACAAAGTTAGCTCTTGAGCGTGCTAGCTTTAATTTCTCACCCAGAACTGTTTACATTGGTTAATAAGAACCACAAAAAAAATCCTGGTAAAAAAATTAAAAAAACCACCGATTTATTTATGTTTTACCAATTCTATTCACCATGATCCATCGCACATTCCATGTGAGAAGAACGATATAAACAAGCAGGAAGGATCATCTGTGATAGTCCTTATCAGTTAAAATATAGAGAGAATGGCGCGTAGGGTACTAAAAGGTATCCTAGAGTTAACTCAAAAAGTACTACAAGGTATCCTGAAGTTAACTTGAAGAGTACTACAAGGTATCCTGGATTTAACTTGAAGAGTACTACAAGGTATCCTAGAGTTAAGGGGGCATACACCAAAACAGTGGTTTGTGCCGTCCAGACCAAATGACCTCATAGGCAGTTCAGTGACCTTCTAGCGCACCGTTTCCACACCAAAAAAAATTATTTTGAGAATTCCCATTTTTGTAATCGAGCATTTCCTGGTTAAGAGTGCAATTTTCGGAAAAAATTATTTTGTGGTTGAGACGCTATAAGTTAATCATTTCTTGCGGTATCGGGTTGAAATTTTGCTCGCCGTTTATTCACATCTATTTCAAGGTGTGTGTAAAATCTTGATATCGTATCTAAAAAGGCTGGTGTGTTATGAATTTTTAAAGTCAAAAAGCTAAAATTGTCCTTTTCAGGCTTATTTTAACAAAAAGTCAGTCAGGGAAGATCGGATTTTTTGATGCTTGACATCAAATTGTTCTCTGAATTCTGGCGCAGTTTTTGATGCCCTCAAAAATGTTTTTACTCATTCACCTTCTGATCTATTGGACCTCAAAGCCAAACAACAAATTTAGGCACATTTTTCGTTTTTAATATTTACTGATTTTTCTAAAATTTTGATAGGAATGTGCTAGTGACTTTTTGAAGGGTGCAAAATAACCGCAACTAGCACATTTATATATGAGTTATGAACAACAAAACACCCTAAAATGCTTCCCTTTGAAGTTATGGGAGAAAATGTGATTTTTTATCTGCAAAGCCAAAAAATCACATTTTCTCCAAAGTCTAACTTCAAAGGGAAGCATTTTAGGGTGTTTTGTTGTTCATAACTCATATATATAAATGTGCTAGTTGCGGTTATTTTGCACCCTTCAAAAAGTCACTAGCACATTCATATCAAAATTTTAGAAAAATCAGTAAATATTAAAAACGAAAAATGTGCCTAAATTTGTTGTTTGGCTTTGAGGTCCAATAGATCAGAAGGTGAATGAGTAAAAAAAACATTTTTGAGGGCATCAAAAACTGCGCCAGAATTCAGAGAACAATTTGATGTCAAGCATCAAAAAATCCGATCTTCCCTGACTGACTTTTTGTTAAAATAAGCCTGAAAAGGACAATTTTAGCTTTTTGACTTTAAAGATTCATAACACACCAGCCTTTTTAGATACGATATCAAGATTGAACACACCTTGAAATAGATGTGAATAAACGGCGAGCAAAATTTCAACCCGATACCGCAAGAAATGATTAACTTATACTTGTTATAGCGTCTCAACCACAAAATAATTTTTTCCGAAAATTGCACTCTTAACCAGGAAATGCTCGATTACAAAAATGGGAATTCTCAAAATAATTTTTTTTGGTGTGGAAACGGTGCGCTAGAAGGTCACTGAACTGCGTATGAGGTCATTTGGTCTGGACAGATTTGGTGTATGCCCCCTTAACTCTTATAGAGAACTACAAGTTAGCTTCAAGTTATCATTTATCTACTTTATTTAACCTAAACAACCTCCATTTTGTTGTAGCCTGCAGGCAACCGTGGATCAACTTAAGATAAATCGATGATCTGATCCTGAAGTTAACTGACAGAAAGCATGAAGTTTCAACCTACAGTTAGATATCCGTCGTCTTCCAATTATATCGGTCCTGATATTTGAAATTTTATCGCCTCTCGGATTTGCTCTCGGATCCTATAGGATTTGAGTATTCTATCGGGTCCGAGAGCAAATCCTATCGGCACTCGGAATTGTTAAATCCTATCTCCGCTAGGATTAGCGCTCGGATCCGATAGGTTTTTAATTTCCTATCGGGTTCGAGAGCAAATCCTATCGCCTCTCGGAACTTACACATCCTATCGCCGCTCGGCGATAGGAATTCATCGGAGGTATCCTAGGGGAACCGGATCGGCGTAAGGATTGATAAAATCAGAGATATCTCGGACGCGCTAGGATAAATCCTAGGGTAATCCTATCTGATTAAAATCGCAAAAATCGCCCTTCTGAACAGCCGTGTCCTGTACGTCAGCTCAGATTTGTACTGACATGATTTGGCGCGTGCCACATACTCAATTTTCATCGTGGCCCGAAAATGGGACAAACAGTCTCTGGCTTGATATCGGAGAATGCTCAAAGTATTCTCTGATGTGCAGTGAGAATGCTATACTCGGTAACAGCCTTAACAAATAATGCTCCAGCCACGGCAGAGTCTATATAACTCCTTCGTTGTGAGGCAGGTTGTCCGGACTCCAGACCCTCCTACTTCCTACTTTTCAGCGATTCCCCCTACTTTTTTCCTGCTTGTCGACAGTTTCTCATATTCTCCGATTTTTGGCTATTTTTTCCTTTTCACCCTTTTGAAAAAAGGCAATAGTGAAAGGTTACGAATGGAGGTTTTTGCAGAAAAACGTGGATTTTGGAGAACGAGATAGGTGGGTTTAATAGTAGGAGCTGTTACGGGGATTTTCTGCTCGATACACCAGAGTCATCAGACATGTCTTAAACGACGTATTTTTGGCCCCTGAATCGATTGGTGATAGTGGGAAGTGTTGAAAATGGAGGGAACCTGGTTTTATTTGAAAAAAACCGATTTTTGGCCCTAAAAATGGTCATTTTTTGAGGTTTTTCAGGATTATCGATAGGTTAATTTCAAGCAAAAGCTTAGATATTTCGGTTTCTAATACATTTTGATATGCCGCATTAGCTAATATTAAGTTTATAAGCACACATAAGAGTTAACCTGTTCAAAATTTTAAAAAACCTTCAAAAAAAAATGTTTTTTTGCGCGCAAAATTTTTTTGGCTCTTTATACATCCACAATGAAATATTTTTG